AAAAAAAAAAAAAAAAGCAAAGCACAGCAGCTGCAGGCATGTTCTCAGGTCCCTGAATACCTCCAAGCCCAGGGAAGCCACATAGCTGCCCACCCCGTATTTGAACCTGTTGACCCCTGTCTGTCTCCCTGTTACTTCTGCCTTTGATTAGTTCTCTGCATTGGGGCCTCTGAAGACAACTAATCCCCACTCTTCTTGGCAGTGCTTGAGTGTTTAAAGACCATGCTTCTGTCCCCCTGCCCTCTCCGAGGTCTCACCACTGTCCGTGCTCTCTGTCCGCATAAGCAGTCCCCATACACCAGGCCTGATGGTACATTCTCTTCCTCAGATCTAAGCCGGACATTAAAATGGAGCCAAGTGCCGGGCGGCCCATGGATTACCAGGTACGTGGGCCTGGTAAAGGAGATCTCATGCCTTTCAGACTCTGCTCTAGTCGGGGCTTCTAGCTGGATGTGCATTATCCACTTTATTGAGGCAAGGATCCAGGGGTCATAGAGAACCACATGCTGAATATAAGTTCCCAAAGTAAGCTTGTCCCTGGGAGGCATTCCTAGAAGTATCCGTAGAAATGCAAACCCAGAGAGAAGCTTGAGAACTCTGCTCATGCTGGTCAAAGCCCTTCCAGAATTTCATGTTTAGCCCTGGACTTAATAGAGTAAGAAGCACCCAGAAAAACCATAAAGAGACCAAAGAGAACTACAGAAAAGTATTCAAACAGTTAAAATAAGAGCCTGTGAAGAAAGCTTTCCTGGTATGATGTTTAAATTGTTGTTTTCTATTATTTTATTGCTGGAAGTAATGTCAATTCTGGTTATCTCTGGATGATAAGAATGTGAGTGATATTTTTCTTCTTTTTGCTTCTCTGTATTTTCTGAGATTAACACAACTTTTTTATTTGTGTGCTCCTAAGACTAAAGATAAAAGACTGATGCAAAGTGAGGTTGACAGCTGTAAGATTGTGAATGTGGGTCAAGCACGGTGGCTCACACCTGTAATCCCAGCACTTTGGAAGGCTGAGGCAGGCAGATCACGAGGTCAGGAGTTCAAGACCAGCCTGACCAACATAGTGAACTCCTGTCTCTACCAAAAATACCAAAATTAACCAGGCGTGTTGGTGTGTGCCTGTAATCCCAGCCACTAGGAGGCTGAGGCAGAAGAATCAGCTGAAGCCGGGAGGTGGAGTTTGCGCCACTGTAGTCCAGCCTGGGTGACAGAGCGAGACTCTGTCTCAGTTAAAAAGAAAAAAAAAAGATTATGAATGTGGCCAACAGTGCAGGCAGTACAGGTGATGAGCACATCTGGTGGCTGCTGGGACACCATCTCTCAGGAAGGGCCCAGGGACCTTCCATTGCTCCAGACCCTACCTTGGAGGCTAACAAGACTCAGCTATAAATCAGAAGCCTGCTGGGCATTCCTGGTACTGGGTGAGAATGCTGGCTGGTCAGAGGGGACAGGGCTTTCCCACCTGGCTGCCACTGCACTTCCTGTCCTGGTGGTGTTCCATCTGGGTATCAGCACCAGGCCCCAGAACCAGAGCGAGCCCCATTTCCCAGGATAAAGCTTTATTTTTGATGCCTATTTCCCATACCCCAATGTGCACCAACTTTTCTTTAAGGACAATCCCACCTCCCCTCACTCAGGTGATGATGGAAAGAATGAGATGGCACTTTTCTATGTCAAAGGTACATCTGACCGTGTTTTCTCAAGAATATACCTCATCTCTCTTCATCTTTGATTTAGTTAGTTTCCATCTACTCAGCAACTGTCTTCCCAGGTGCCTGACAAGCAGCCTAAGGCAGTGTCAAAGGGACCTGTGGTTTTAAACAATTTCAAGCCATTGGGTTCCTTGGAGATTTGAGAATCCTGGCCCCTCCCCTCTGCCAAAACCGAAACATAGAGTGTCCTGACTTCTGAGAGCTTTTCTGACAGATTGGGCTCAGGGCTTTGTTTCTCTGTGTCCTGAGAACAGGAAAATTCCAAAGGACAAAGACTCCAACTCAGATATCATTTTACTGCCTGAGAGGTAAGGGCACATCGAAAATAGTCATTATTGTTCATGAAACTTGTTTTTTGAAGGTTTGCTCTAGGCACTGTGCTGGGGCTATATATGTTTTCATCGAAGTTAATGTAATTTTTCAACCACCCAAATATAGGTGTTACTGCACTTTAGAGGTAAGAAAGTGATGCCCCAGGAAGGACAAGAGCTGGTCCCAGGTCCTTGCCACAGTTAGCCAAGGCTAGAGTCAGGGTTCAAGGCCAGGGGTGTCTGGCCACAGCCATCAGAGCAATTGACTTCTCTACATCAAGCCTTCTAGACAGCTGCTCCCTTCGGGTCCCTGGTTCATCTTCATCTTGCCACTTAGTTCTTGTTTTCCAAACCTTTTCAAACTGCTTCCTACCAGAGACTTTTATGAACTGAACCAGACATTTTCCCCTTCAAAGTCTCTTTAAACCTTCCGAACTGAACAAAACAGTTGTTGTCTTTAACTTGGTAGCACAGTATTTCCTGACAAGTTCATTCACCACTAACCTTTCAAGCATTAATACACTTTGAGAGAGAGCTAGAGGATGCAAATGTGAAATTATTTTCGCTTCCAATAAATCCGATGTATAAAGCAATAAAACCAGGCCGGGCACAGTGGCTCACACCTGTAACCGCAGCACATTGGGAGGCCGAGACAGGTGGATTGCTTAAGCCCAGGAGTTCAAGACCAGCTTGGCCAATATGGTAAAACCCCATCTCTATTAAAAATACAAAAATTAGCCAGGCATGGTGGCACATACCTGTAATCCCAGCTGCTTGGCAGGCTGAGGCAGGAGAATCGCTTGAGCCCGGGAGGTGGAGGTTGCAGTGAGCCAAGATTACGCCACCGCACTCCAGCCTAGGTGACAGAGCGAGACTCCATCTCAAAAAAAAAAAAAAAAGAACCTCAGGAAAGACACCTAGTTGGTGAGGGGAGGGGAGGCTTGCTGAACTCAGATCCAGGAAGGGTCATGAGGGCTCAGAACCATTCCAAAGTTGATGGCATTGAAAGAAGCCTGGAGGTAATAGGACCATGGTGTACCCACACCCCTTGTTTCTTCCATTTAGAATGGATGTCACATGTAAACTCTTTCCTGATTATTGCCATCTCCAAGGCAAGAAACCAGAGCCACCTCCCTGTGAATGTGCAGTTTCCCCACCAGAGTGAGCAATGCTTGGCACTTGGCAGAGATGTTCTTGGTGGGTCAAGGGTCTTGAGTCTCTTCATTACCTTCTCTTCCTGCCACCAGACTTAATACATTGTCGCCCAACATCCCTCCAGTTTTCACCTCCATTTCATGCCCCTGCCATTGATCTGAGGTCCCCAGCCTCAACCGCTTGCTTGTACCCACTTTCTACATGGTCTCCCTGCTCTCATATTGCCTCCTCCGCTCCGACCTGTATACCACCCCTGGAGAAATCTTCTGAAAATGCAAATCTGGTCATGTCACATCTCTGCCACCTGGAAAAGTGGGGAGGGGGTAATGGGTGTTGCAGAAGGACAGTACCAAAGGGCGCACCAACTCACATCTCTGGCTCCCAGGGGGTGTTCTTGAAGCTGGATCAGGTCCCTGGGAAGCAGGTCACAAAGCATTGTTACTCTTCAGTTTTCCCAGGACAGGGGTGTAGATTTGCCATTCAGCATTGTTCCTTGTGATCACTTTCATGAGGCCACTGCGGATTGTGTCCCTTATCTTGAAAGGAGATGGTGGAATAGTCAGCTTGTCGGTTGGTCCCAGCTGTGGCTCATTTGCCTTTTCATCTTCCACCCTGGGAAAATAGTGTTCTCTGCTGACAATCGGAGAGAAGGATGGCCAAGCCCCTCCCCTAGAACCCTGGGGAATGAGCAGCTGCCTTTTTTTTTTTTTTTAGTTTCCAGTGCATCATTTCCCTTTTCTAGAGCCCCAGGTGTGGTGGGAGGCAGCAGGAATGGCATTTCCCTTCCCTCAACACCATGCTGGTCTTTCTCCAGCACCCTCAGCTTCACCTCAGGGCTGCCCCTCAACCAGCAGTGAGCACCCTCTGGAGCTTCTCTTCCCTTTGTTGCTCCTTCAAGCCTCTGCCCACCTCCCCTTCCACCCCCTTCCTCTACTGCCAGAGCTTCTGTCCAGGTTGTCACCTTCGCTGGCTCTGCTCCATGGAGGAAGGGAGAAACATATGAGTCCTGAAAAGGGGGACAGGGACAAGTAACCTGTCATTATGGCCAGGCCTCAAGTTGGAAAGCATACAAACCAGGACCAGGTGCAGTGGCTCACACCTGTAATCCCAGTACTTTGGGAGGCCAAGGCGGGTGGATCATGAAGTCAGGTGTTTAAGACCAGCCTGACCAACATGGTGAAACCCTGTTTCTACTAAAAATACAAAAATTTAGCTGGTCATGATGGCGTGTGCCTGTCATCCCAGCTACTCAGGAGGCTGAGGCAGGAGAATTGTTTGAACCCAAGAGGTGGAGGGTGGAGATTGCAGTGAGTCAAGATCACGCCATGCACACCAGCTTGGCAACAGAGCAAGACTCCATCTAAAAACAAAATGAAACGAAACAAAAACCAACCACTCTCTTGGCAGTGGGAAGGTGACTTTCCGCTGGCTTATCCTTCGTAGGTGCCAAAGCTATGTCTGTCTGCTTCCCAGTCTTGAGTTATAGAAAACCTCTTTTTATTGTTGGTGGGAGTGTTCATTGTGGAAAGATTCATGGGGCTTTTAAAATCTTTGGCAAAAAAAGGTTCATGGAAGTTAAAACTCTATAAACTGTTGTGCAAAGGAGGGCTTTTAGTGTCTGTTTGCTCTCTTCACAGTAAACTTCTCAGAGCTAAGTTAGTTAGTCCTATTTCCTTTTTAGCTCCCCGAAGAAGCGGTGAAGATTAAACTTCCGTGAAGCTCCAGATTCTAAGCTTTGACTTCAGTCCCTTTGGCACTTCTCGTTCCAAATATAAATGTTTGCTCCCTAGCTCAAGCGTCACTTCCTTTGTAAATATCCCATTTCCTGGCAACGTTCTCATTATCGTTGGAATTTCTATTTCCTTAACATTATTGCTTCTGATGTGTAGATTTTTCATCGCCTTCAGAATAGTTTTAAGACTTTGATGGACACTGGATGCTCATTTTAGTGGTCATTCTTTTTCATGAAAAGGGAAGATAATTCCCTTGAGTGTAGTTGTGCTTAGATGTTGCATCAAAGTACAACTAAAATGTGAAATCTCCAAGATGAGAGGCATGAGAGCAGCCCTCAGAGTCTCATTAGAAGAATGCACTGAGGTCCATGCTCATCCTAGCTAGGGAAAGGCTTTTCTGTTAAAATACAAGTTTGAGAGGGGCAAATGAGTCAATTCTAAGCATCGTGCACAACCTCACCTATTTGAGAGATCAACTGCTTAGCTGAAGGAAGATTCTATTGGAGTCACTCACATTTTATAGCGCTTTCTGCTGTTTAGGATGCATTTTGACACACACGATGTCATTTAACCCTCATACAACCTTATGGGTAGCTGGTATCTCTGCTTGTAGCTGAAAAACACAAGGCTATGTAGTCATTTGCTCTCACACCTGGCAACATGTCAGGTCTGGGGTTCAATGCCAAGGCCAGCAACCCCAAGTCCATGCCTCTGTCTATCTTACCATGGCCACCCTGACAAGAACTGACACCTCCAAATTCAAAATGAGACCTGATGGCTTAAAATGAGCATTCGGGAAAAGTAGTAGTGACGTCAAAAATTACCAGCGCTCTGGCCCTCTCTCTGTCTCTCTATCCCTCCTTATATCTTTTTAGCTTGAAAAGCCAGTAATTAGCTGTACAAGGTGGCTTACACCTATAATCCCAGCACTTTGGGAGGCCAAGATGGGCAGATCACCTAAGGTCAGGAGTTCAAGACCAGCCTGGCCAACATGGTGAAACCCCAACTCTACTAAAAATACAAAACTTAACTGGGCATGGTGACATGTGCTTGTAATCCCAGCTACTCAGGAGGCTGAGGCAGAAGAATTGCCTGAACCCAGGAGGTGGAGGCTGCAGTGAGCCGAGATCAAGCCACTGCACTCCGGCCTAAGTGAAAGAGCGAGACTCAGTCTGAGAAAAAAAAAAAAAAAAAAAGCCAATAATCATTTGTGGTAAGCTCCACAAGGATGAATTTGTTGCAATCCCACCTGTGCCTGGCTCCAGCAGGTTTCCAGGAAACATTTGTTGCATAAAAGAACAACTGAAAAAGGGCTTCCAGGAACAGAAGTAAGATTCCGGGGAGCTGGAACCCACTTAAAGGACACAGTAGAACGCACACAACATACAATCACCAGGCTGGAAAACGCGGCTCGGGCAGGCAGCAAAGCCACCCTGACCACTCAAACAAAGAAATTCCCCAAAAGGAGAAGGGGCAGGAACGTGGAAAGGGGGCCAAATTCCAGAAACACGAAGACGTATCAGAGGCCTGCAGGCTTACGTGAGAATTCCTGGAGCAGGAAATTAAATGCAAGTTAATGAAGACTTTAAGAGCTTTATTCCTGTGTGCATTAAACCTGTGGCATGGGTTTGGCAGCTCTTTCTGAAGCAGAGCCACCGATGCTGGGGAAGAACACAGGGCAATTGGCATCACCCAGGAGCTTTAAAAAATATAGATGCCATTGCACTTGTTCTTCCTCCCCAGTTCTTCTAATTGTGACATTAGGGTGTCGGTTTTAGATCTTTCCTGCTTTATCTTTTGGGCATTTAGTGCTCTAAGTTTCCCTCTACACATTGCTTTAAATGTGTCCCAGAGATTCTGGTATGTTGTGTCTTTGTTCTCACTGGTTTCAAAGAACATCTTTATTTCCGCCTTCATTTCATTATTTATCCAGTAGTCATTCAGGAGCAGATTGTTCGGTTTCCATGTAGTTGTTGATAGACAGGGTAAAGAAAATGTGGCACATATACACTATGGAATACTATGCAGCCATAAAAAAGGATGAGTTTATGTCCTTTGCAGGGACATGGATGAAGCTGGGAACCATCATTCTCAGCAAACTAACACAAGAACAGAAAACCAAACACCGCATGTTCTCATTCATAAGTGGGAGTTGAACAGTGAGAACACATGGATTCAGTGGAGAGGGGAATATCACACACCAGGGCCTGTCAGGGGGAAGGGGCTTAGGGGCGGGATAGCATTAGGAGAAAACCTAATGTAGATGATGGGGTGATGGGTACAGCCAACCACCATGGCATGTGTTTACCTATGTAACAAACCGACATGTTCTGCACATGTACCCCAGAACTTAAAGTACAATAGATAGATAGATAGATAGATAGATAGATAGATAGATAGATAGATAGACAGACAGATAGATAGATAGACAGACAGACAGATAGATATACATAGATGCCGGGCCGGGTGCATTGGCTCATGCCTATAATCCTAGCACATTGGGAGGCCGAGGCGGACAGATTACTTGAGGCCAGGAGTTTGAGAGCAGTCTGGTCAACATGGCAAAACCCCGTCTCTACAAAAAAATACAAAAATTATCCAGGTATGTTGGCGCTGGCCTGTAATCCCAGCTACTCAGGAGGCTGAAGCAGAAGAATCACTTGAACCCAGGAGGCAGAGGTTGCAGTGAGCCAAGATCATGCCACTGCACTCCAGTCTGGGCAACAGAGAAAGACTCCGTCAAAAAAAAAAAAAAAAAAAAAAAATACAAATACCTAGGCTGCATACCCCGGGATTGGACTGGATTGGTCTGGAGGTGGCCTGGGCATCAGGGTTTTTAATGCCTGCCTCTCTCCCTGCCCCGGCAAGTTAAGTCTAGTGAACACTGACTTAGAGGTTAGCCAGCTCATACTCCTCTGATATGATGACACTGAGGCCTAGAAGGGGAAAGAGCCCAGGATCACCCAGCAGATGAGAGGCAGTGGTCAGAGTGAAGCTCAGGAGCCCAGTGCTGGTTCCCGGGCCCTCCCTCTGGCCCTGCTGCCCCAGCCCCTGGACCCCTCGGGACCAGGCTCCCAGGCTCAGGCAGCTTTCCTTCTGGCTCCCCCTTCTCCTGCCCACAGGTCAGCATCACGGTGATCGAGGCCCGGCAGCTGGTGGGCTTGAACATGGACCCTGTGGTGTGTGTGGAGGTAGGCGACGACAAGAAATACACCTCCATGAAGGAGTCCACTAACTGCCCCTATTACAACGAGGTCAGTGGCCCTGTGGGGAAAGGGGCCCCCTTAAATGTGGCAGGAGGGTGGGCCCCAGGAGAAACAGGAGTGGGTGGGAGTCAAGGAGCACACAGGGCTACCAGCAGGGGTGACCTGTCCTGTTACAGCCCCCAGCACACTGACACACAGAGCCACATCCTCTGCACCCCCAAGTCTAGAGCCCAGGCTGGCTCAGGTCTTTGACGTGTACATGACCTGGGTGCTCCTGTGCAGCCCCCAACAGTGCCTGTGAAAGAACCGCCCACCCCACCCCCAGGAGGCCTGGTCCCCACTGTTTTCCAGGCCTGAGCCCAGGGACAGGGCTGCCTGATTCCAACCCAGGGAGGCATTGGCCCCATTAATAAGCACTTTCTACTTGCCAGGCACACTCCTAAATGATTCTGAGCTGGACCATCCCATGTTATCACTGTCATTTCCCTTTTTCACCAAGGGACAGCGAGACTTCTGAAGGCAGACCTTGTCCAACCTCACAGTGCCAGCATCGAGTTCTGGGTGCTTGCCCTTGGCATGCTAGTGGGGTTCTGCCCTCTTGGGTCGGCTCCTTCATGGTTGCCTGGACCTCTGCGGGCTTCCCTCCAGACCACTGGCCTTGACTTTGGGGTGTGAGAGAGAAAGCACCCAGTACCCACTCCTATTCTTTCCGGCTATTTGAGGCCACATCAAGGGTGAGGGACCTCAGAGGCCATCTACTTCAATCTCCCCATCTTACAGAGGAGAATACTGAGGCCTCCATATGGACGGGCCTTGCCCACAATCTCAGAGAGTGTTGCTGATGGAGCAGAGGCCAGACTGCCCACCCGGCTTCCAGCCCAGGGCTCTGGCCACCATCACAAATGTGGCACCTTCGTTCCCGGGCTTCTAATGGGACCTCATCATAATCAGCCCTAAGAAGGGATGTGAGAAAAACACTCACTCATCCAAACCCAAAGAATGGACTTAGAGGCACAAAGAACAGCAAAAGTGAGACTTTTAATGGTGGTCTTGCAAGGTCAAGTGTCTAGTGGGCAGGTACACCCAGGGCCACTACAGCGGCTCATTTACCTCCGAGCATGCAAGTCCCTCCCCCAGTTTCTCATTAGTTGAGTACAATGGGGCTACAATCTTCCCTGATGTCTCCTAAATTTCATTATCCCCCTTATAAAGTTATACCCTGGTCACTTTCCCTGCTTAAGTTTCAATTTCCCAATAACGAAACTTTCTTCCCTTGTATGGGCCAACCCCTCCTCTACATTCTGTTCACTTATCATGACCTTCTAGGTCCATGAGCCATGCTGTTTCTTACATCCACAGGCTGGCTGTCAGTGCTTAGACTTATCATGCCTTGAAAATGAACCATTTAATATGTTTTCTCACAGGGATGCCCAGACCTTTCCCCGATGCCTGAGCACACATCAGACTAGCCCAGAAGCCACTGGCCTGGTCCCTGCCATCCCTTTCCTGGAGGGCCCCCCAGTCTGTTTCTCCTGGTGGCTCCAGGCAGTGAGGGGTGCCAGGCTGGCCCAAGTAAGGCAGCCGAGTCCCGTCCCCTGAGGTGGGTGAGGGCTGAGGTGCCCCCTGTAGCATGGGGGAGAGTATTTCTCAGGTAGCTCTGGGAGTCCTCGGGCTGTGCACCTGCAGGAAGACAACCCAGGCCCATCTCTGCCCTTCAGCATGGGCCTGGCTGAACTCTCCTCTGTGAGCACAAATCGACTCTGCTCTCCCAGCTGCTTTCCCACAGGCCCCCAGAGCTGGACAGCCTGCTCAGGCCCCCCCAGCCCCAAGGACATTCAGGATTGACATCTCTGGCCTTATGTTAGGACGCATCCTGGCTGGACAAGCCTCCGCCTAGATAGGCATCTATGTTCCCATGACAGGCATGGAGACAGGTCCCCGTGGTTACTTGATAGCAATGAAGCCACGTTTGCTGACTTGAGGGATCTCCCTCCACCAGGCCCCCACACCTTGGGTTTTATTCAAATTACTTCCTCTTTCCCAAGGGCACAGAGCTGGTCTCCCCACTCTGTGGCTCCCCCAGAAAACTCCTACTCACCCGGCAGGGCCCAGCTCAAATGTTCTTGCTACTGAGCAGCCTTGCCTACTCTGTCTGGGTCAGAGGTCAGCACTCCCCTTTCTCCGCAGCAATAACGTCCCGGAATTGAGGTTGGTCCTTGGTGTCTCTGTCCTCCTGGTGGGCTGGAGGGTCCCAGTCTCCTGCATTGCTGTATCTGTTCAGAGCCAGGCATGTACTTGGAGGGTTTCAGTAGCACTCACCCAAAGGAAGACAGAACATCCACTAAACATCTGCTGCACGCCAGACAGTGGCACGCAGAGCAACACGGGGGCTGCTGAGATGAAGGAGGCATAGTGTCTGCCATGCACAGGTCCCCTCCTCATTTCAGCCTAGGATCCTTCTACATTTCTTATTTGTATCCTCTAAGACTTTTCATTCTGCGCATCTTCAGACGATCTGAAATGTGCTTCTGATCATATTTTTGTTCTTTTTCACAAACCCAAGTAGCTCTGATTTTGTTTCTCTTTCCTCTAAACTAGGGTTTCTCAAACTCAGCACTATGGATATTGCGGACTGGATAAATTCTTTGTGCTGGGATTGTCTTGTGCTGTGTAGGATGCAAGCAGCATTCCTGGCCTCTACCCAGTAGATGCCAGAAGCAACCCCTCCTTACTTGCAGCAACCAAGACTGTTTCCAGACATTGCCAAATGTCCCCTGGGGGTTAAAATTGCTCCCAGTTGAGACCATCACTCTAAGCTATCTTGCTATGATTCCTTCCAGCCTCTTCTCTTCCCTCTTCTTCTCTTCCTATGCTACATTCCTTTTCAATGAGGGACATCCTCCTCATTGTGGGTATGTATTATTTCTAGCTAATTTTCTGAGCTGGTGGGAATCTTCCTTTGGCTCCATTAAAATAACAGAGAGAGGTGGGAACAATCAGCATGACTTAGCAGATACCTAAGCTGTTACAAAAGGAAAATATGCTCAGGAAGTAACAGGAATTTGATTGCAGACAGCTCAGAGAGTTCAGGATTCTGGTCCTAGCTCAGCTGGCTCACTCCCCTGGGGCTCGTACAGCTCTGGGTGTCTGGCCTGATGGCACTGCCTGGCCCTGAGCCTGCCTGTGTGCGGGGAAGCTCACAACCTTTGCCCTTCCAGAACAAGTCGGCCATTCACAGACCAGACTAAGACTCCTTTCCCGTGTGTGCACCTGGACCCGTCCTGGGCACCTTGGGAGCGCCGCCATCCTTCCTGCTGCCTAAAATCTACCTCTGGATCCTTCTCTTTCTACAGCCCAAAGAACCTGGCATTGCACAGCCCAACTTTATCTTTGTTTTTCTTCCAGCCCCTTCTCCCTTGCCTGTAAGGTGTTCTACTCCAGCATATGCTAAGTACAACCATGAAGACCCCCGTGTGATCAAGGATAGGAACTAGGAGTCTGTCCTCTCTCCCTGGGCCTTTCCTCATTCCCACACACCTCTCCAGTGACCACCTTTTTCCCTCCTCCCTCCACAGTCAGACCATATGGGCTGTCTTCACTTCCTCCCCCAAGTCATACCTCAATCTCTGCAGGGTTTCTGCCTCTAGGTGCCATTGACACTGCTCTCCTCAAAGTCACCAAGGACCTTGCTGCTCCTGAGTATAATGCCCATGTCATCCTCCTCTCCCTTGATCACCCAGTTTCTTTCATCCTGCTGCCTGCTGCTTCCCTTGGGGCCCTTCATGCCACTGTCCTGCTTCCTCTCCATCCATCTCCTCCAGCTCCATCTCCCCATCCTGCCTTCTTGGCTGAAAGGCTGTGGTTTCTTGGAGCCCTGCCTGGGCCTGCTTCCCCTCCCATACGCTCCCTAGGTATCTCCTCCATCCTCAAGGTGTCAGTGACCATCTGTGTGCTGACAATTCCCATATCCATATCCCCACCCACCTCCCCAGAGCTTCAGAACCCTGGCCAGCACCCGCTGGGCCTGTTAGTGTCATGCACAGCTGTTGCTGTTTACAGTGCGTGTGCCATGGGTGCACACCTGGGTTAAAAGCTTGACCAGGTTGTTTCATTGCAACGTCACAACCACCCCTTGAAGCCCCTCCATGTGAATGGCACCCCTGGAGCAGTTCAACACAACAGCCTGGATCATATCTCCACATTCATACGACAATAGGTCAACTGAGGCTCAGGGAAGAAAGTGACCGACCCAGCAGTAACAGCCAGATGGGGCTGGCTCTGTAGCTGGCTTTACCCTCAGGGCTCAGGGGCCAGCCCCAGCAGCCAGGAGCACGTTCTCTTCTGACATTTTCCCCAAGCATCTTGGAAACATTTCTCCCTTCTCCCCCACCATAGTTCACCATGGCAGCAGCCCCTCTACTCACTGTCCACACCCTTATCCTCAGCACCTGCACACCCAGGCCAGGGAAAGAGGTGGGGATTGCACATGCACATGGCAGCCCACAGCACCAAAGGACAGGGCACGCCCATGGCATCTCACATCTACTGCCAGCTAAGTGCTTTGGCACACCATGGTTCATCTGCTCTGACACTTGCATTATTTTACAGTCCAGCATCTCTGAAGTTGGGATGCGTCTCCTGGGCAGCCTTGTGGCTTAATGGCAATGTCCATGTGGCCTGTTAAACCGTAGTAGATCTTACATCCAGTTGCCACTTCAGATTTGGTAAAATTTATGTTACCATGTCTCATCAGGGCCTCATAACAAGACTCTGAGGTGGGTGTCATTATCCCCATTTCACAGCTCAAGAAACTGAGGTTCAGAGAATGTGTTGCTTAAGGCCACACAGCTAGAAGTTACAGAAGTGGGATAAGGACCCAGGTCTCCTGGCCCTGTGCTCTTCTGAGCACAGTACAAGGGAGTAGGCTGTTCCACCTACTGTTCCCACTTCCTTCCCCACCCCACCCTACCCAGCACCAGCCCCACCTAGGGGATGGGGCTCTGTTTCCTACCACCCACCACCAAGGTCAGTCAGAATCAGATGAGTTGCACCTGCTGCTCCTCTGAACTTTGGGGCTCAGGGAAAATGGCCTGGGTACAGACATGCACTGCCAGGAGGGAGGGGCCCAGCACTGCCTGGGCTGTAGGGGCTGCCTGCAGTGACAGCAGGCCTGGGTCCTTCCCCCCTCCAGTACTTCGTCTTCGACTTCCACGTCTCTCCTGATGTCATGTTCGACAAGATCATCAAGCTCTCGGTGAGTGGGGAGCAGCCCCTGGCAGGCAGGGCCACTCCCTTAAACTGCACCCTTGTGCAGACAGGAGAGGGGGCCCCCTCTGGCTAGACCCATCATAAAGAGGCAGCACTGTGCCTAGACACATGGCTGGGCAAGTGGGGCACAGGCTGGATTCTGGCCCCTGCCTGCCCCTCTCATCGCGTGCCTCTTAATAGTGTATTCGCCCGTACACAGCGGCTAGCGAGAAACTGGCGTGGGTGGGAAGAGCTGATGCAGAGCCTCAGCGAGCCACCCAGTCTGCCAAATGCCCTCCCACTTCACTGCAAAGCTTGTGTCCCACCGCTGCCCCATGGAAAGCTCCTCCTCGCTGGGGCTGACAGGTGGCTGTGGTTCTGCCTGAAAGGTGATTCACTCCAAGAACCTGCTACGCAGTGGCACCCTGGTGGGTTCCTTCAAAATGGACGTGGGGACTGTGTACTCCCAGCCAGGTGAGTACCTGCGCACGGCCAGCCAGCCAAGGGGTGCATGGTTCAGGAAGCATGATGCACAGGGCCCCTCCCACTGTGGCGGTTCCTGAGCGCAGCCTGGCAAGGACCACAGTCTGGCGACTGTTAGTACACACAGCCATCTGGCCTGCAGAGAAGTGGCACGCACAGTCTGTACACAAATGCAGTGAGCAACTGTGCACCCAGTCTGGTGGGTTCTCACTCATAATCAGGTCAGTAACTCCACACAGAGCCTGGAAGGAGCTCCAGCGCACACTCAGGAGCACGTGGCAGCCTGGCGCATCACTGGCCATATGCAGGCTGACAAGTACTGGTAGAGGATACAGTGAGGGAGACCCGTCACAGCCTGCAGAGGGGCTATGCCCAGACTCTGCCTCCTGGGCTGGCACCCACTGAGCAGAAAGGAACCCCTTTTCACCCCTCCTGAGTAGTATTTGCTTTCCTTGCTAAATGTCCCCAATTCATCTAACCATGCACACCTCTATCCATCTACCCCTGTATCCATCCATCCACTCACCCATCCACAAATGCATCCACCCACCCATGTATCCATCCATCCGCCCACCCACCCATATATCCATTGGTTCACCCACCTATCCACAAATCCATCCATTCACCCATATATCCATCCACCCACCCATATATCCATCCATCCACCCATTTGCCCATCACAGATCTATCCATCTACCCACCCATCCACAGATCCACCCACTCACACATATATCCATCCATCCATCCCCCCACCCACCCGTCCATATATCTACCCACCCACCTGTCCACATATTAATGGCTCCTTCTATCCAATAATCCAGCCACCATCTGTCCATCTATCTCTTAGCCAGCCAAGCAGCTCAGCACCCATCCCTCTGCCCATTTCTGCACCCATTTAGCTATCTGTCCATCTCCCCATCCAACACACATCTGCTCTGGTGAGACCCTGAAGCTCCTGGGATATCTGGGACACAGCCCCTCCTCTGAGGCCTGCCAGCCTGGCTGAGGGTCTCCAGTTACTCCTTATACACGTGCCTTCCTGTCCTCTCGCGATGCTTGCCCCTCTCTTCAGAATCTACTGTGGCATTATCTTTCCTGAGACACAGGTGGCCTGGCTATCCCCAGAAAGGCCGACTTCTGCACACAGCCCCTAACACCTCCAGGAGTGACCAGGGCCACAGGCTTGCAGGATGCAGGCCTGAGCTGCAGTAGAAGGTGGAAGAGGAGGGAGTGAAGGAGGGAGGTGCTGAGCCCTCGAGAGTTCAGTGCCCACAGAACACCCTAGGAAGCAGATTCTGAAGGCACCGTGATGGGCTTCCCTCTGCTTGCCCACTGGGCTTAAAGTAAACCTGAAGGGGCAAATCCTTCCTAAAGTGCCTCCTTCCCTGACATTTGTCCTTCCCTCCACATGGTCCTAGGTTATGGGACACTGGGATGAGACTGCCAGGCCCGGTCTTTAGGACTGTCAGTCTAAAATCAGAGACAAACAATACACAGATCAACACAGTGCACAGTGAGATGGGAGATGTGCACAGACAGCCCAGAGAACGCCAAAGAGCTCAGGATCAACTCTTCTGTGGAAGTCAAGGAGGGCTGCATGGAGGAGGAGAAACTTGAGCAAAATGAGTAGAAGTTTACCAATTGAATAGGGAGAGAGAGAGGTGGAGGTGGAGAGAGCAGGGATGAGGGTGTTCCAAGCTCAAAGAGCAGCAGATGCAAAGGTGTGGAGGTATAAAAAGGCAAATAAAACTTCAACACGAGTTCAGTGAGGAGGAACATGGGGCTGGGTGGGCTCAGCAGAGTGAGTCAGGGAGCACTGGATCAGGAGCCCACAGGCCATGCCTTTTGTCTTCACCCCAAGGCACTGGGACACCCCAGAGGGGCTGAAGATGGGGAGCAGGAATGAGAGCCTCCACCTGGGAAGGCCCTGTGGGCAGCTGTGTCCTTCACAGCTGTGAGAAGCCTGGCCGACTGGGGCAGGCCGTAGAAGAGGTCATAGGAGCCGGGCACAGTGGCTCAAGCCTGTAATCCCAGCACTTTGGGAGGCCGAGGCGGGTGGATCACGAGGTCAAGAGATCGAGACCATCCTGGTCAACATGGTGAAACCCCGTCTCTACGAAAAATACAAAAAATTAGCTGGGCATGGTGGTGCGTGCCTGTAATCCCAGCTACTCAGGAAGCTGAGGCAGGAGAATTGCCTGAACCCAGGAGGCGGAGGTTGCGGTGAGCCGAGATCGCGCCATTGCACTCCAGCCTGGGTAACATGAGCGAAACTCCGTCTCAAAAAAAAAAAAAAAAACGATCATAAAAGAGGTCATAGGCAGAAAGAACAAAATTAGGAGGAGGCTGTCCCTCCCAAGTCACACCACTCATGGGACTTATGTCCATGAGTGGGCCATGTACCCACACCCACTGCCCTGGCTCCAGAGGACCTCAGACTCTGTCACCCCCTGGGCTAGGGACAGGCAGAGCTGTGGCCCCGGGTCCCAGGATTCTAGGGGCCAAGACAGCATTTGGCTCTGCCACCCCTCAGCCTGCCCTGAGCACTGGGAGACACCCTGGGTGGGGGCGTCTGGTGCAGTGCCCACCCCTCACCACTGCAGAGCACCAGTTCCATCATAAGTGGGCCATCCTGTCTGACCCTGACGACATCTCCTCGGGGCTGAAGGGCTACGTGAAGTGTGACGTCGCTGTGGTGGGCAAAGGGGACAACATCAAGACGCCCCATAAGGCCAATGAGACCGACGAAGATGACATTGAAGGGTGAGGCCCAGCTACCCCAGCCCCTGGAGCATGAGCCAGCCCTTCCTTCCCCCAGGGGGCTTCCGGTGAGGGTTTGCTCAGAGTACCTGCCACCTGTCTCCTCACCCTAGTCTCGCCCACTCTTCCCAAGCAGCCCCAAGCAGGGGAAGCGGGTGACAGAGGATGGCTGAAAATAACAGTCCTTTGACATCTTTTCTGCCAGTGAGAAGCAGGGTGGAAAGCGTCAATACTGACAGACCAGAGTCCAGCAGCTGCTGGGTCCTGAGTGTAGCGCAGGTTAGCGCTGGGAAAGCCAAGGTTTCTTTTGGTGTGCCAGTTCCAGGCGGCTGTTGAAAAAGATTCTGTGACTCTGTCTGGAGTCAGCGGGTAAAAGTGCTAGGATCAATGAATCCTGTCTTTCATGAGCTGGGGGAGGGAGAGTGTCTACTATGAACTTTTTGTCTGTGAAACAAAGGATACAGCACAAAACTATAGAACACTGATGATAATACTAAGATCATATCCCAATGTACAATCTATAAACCATTCATAAGCTTTAGCGTGCTTGAGCCAATCACATTCTCAGAAAGTGGGTATTATTACGGCCATCTTAGCAGTGAGGAAACTGCAGCTCAGTGAGATGGGAAGATCTGCCCAGAATCCCACAAGGGGCAGGTGCCATGAAGGCAGGTGTCTAATCCTAGCTTAGCAAACCCCAGCTGTCCCTTAGAGACCATGCCAGGACCCAAGGGAGTGTAGATGCCAGGACAGGGGTTGGGGGTCTGCTCCAGCCACCATGGCCCTGGCTTATATGTGCTGGTAGGAACTTGCTGCTCCCCGAGGGGGTGCCCCCAGAACGCCAGTGGGCCCGGTTCTACGTGAAAATTTACCGAGCAGAGGGACTGCCCCGTATGAACACAAGCCTCATGGCCAACGTAAAGAAGGCGTTCATTGGCGAAAACAAGGACCTCGTGGACCCCTACGTGCAAGTCTTCTTTGCTGGCCAGAAGGTACTGGGGTAGGAGGTACAGGAGGCTGGGGCTGGGTGACAGGCATCACAAATGCAAGCCGATGGGCGTGGGACCTGGGGGGCAGCTGGGCGGGTGAGACAAGCGTAGGAATTACATCGGCCGGGGACAGACTTAGACAATCCTCCCTGCCTCCTGGGGTCGACGGTGAGCTGCGCCGCAGGCATGAGAGGGAAGAGAGGCTGGGGGTGTGGGAAGAGTGGAGACAAATCCACACACAGGCATGTACGCGCACATGCACCCACTCACACATGCACACACCCATCACACATGCATGCACACACTCACACATGCACCCACTCATGCATGTACTCACACATCAACTCACACATGCACACACCCACTCACACATATACACACCCACTCATGGACGCACTCAGGCACACACCCCCACACACCCACTCACACACCCTCACACGCACACACACACACATGCACCCAATCACACATGCACATATACACCCACACACCACACATGCACTCACACACACACATACCCTCACTCACACATGTGCACATACACACACTACCATTCATGCACGCACACACACCCACTCACACACGCACACCCACTCACACATGCACACACCCACTCTCACGCGCACGCACCCACTCATCCATGCACTCACACCCACTCACACACCCACTCACGCACACACCCACTCACACATGCACTCACACCCACTCACACACACACTCACACGCGCACACACCCACTCACACATGCACGCACCCACTCACACATGCTCGCACTCACGGATGCCCTCACACAGGCACACACCCACTCACACACGCATGCACCCACTCACATACCCACTCACACAGGCACACGCCCACACACACCCACACACACACCCTCACACACACACACATGCACCCAATCACACATGCACATATACACCCACACACCACACATGCACTCACACACACACATACCCTCACTCACACATGCGCACATACACTCACACACACACACCCACTCAGACACATGCACCCACTCACACATGCACATATACACCCACACACGCACACATGCACCCAATCACACATGCACACATGCACCCACTCACACACACACACACATCCACTCACACACACATGCACACGCCCTCATCCTTGCTCCCCCTTCCACCAGGGCAAGACTTCTGTGCAGAAGAGCAGCTATGAGCCCCTGTGGAATGAACAGGTCGTCTTTACAGACCTCTTCCCCCCACTCTGCAAACGCATGAAGGTGCAGATCCGAGACTCGGACAAGGTCAACGACGTGGCCATCGGCACCCACTTCATTGACCTGAGAAAGATTTCTAATGATGGAGATAAAGGTCAGCAGCAGAGACTGGGTGTGCTACGGGGAGGGAGTGGGCTGAAGGGAAGAAGTAAATGAGAACCCTCTCTTCACACCACCACCATCAACTCCCGACCCCAGCCTCATGGGCGCTCCCAGCTCTGCTCAGAGCTGGCCTGAGCCCAGCTGACTGGATTTGACAGTTAGTAGCTGTGTGACCTGTTTTCCCATTTGTAAAGTAAAAATAATGATTATATGATCTAATGATAATATAGTCTGAATATGCATAGTCTGAATATGCATATTATTGCAGTGTATATACTGCGTTTGTATATCATTACAGTGTGGGTGTATATATAGGACCTAATAAAAGCAATAGTGCCTATCTGCATAGTCACGGGGATTGACCACCTGCTGGGAACCCTGCACCGTGCTGGGTTCCAAGGACATAGAGTGAGATAAGAATCTGTTCCTGCCGGGCGCGGTGGCTCACGCCTGTAATCCCAGCACTTTGGGAGGCCAAGGCGGGTGGATCACGAGGTCGAGAGATCGAGACGATCCTGGTCAACATAGTGAAACCCCGTCTCTACTAAAAATACAAAAAATTAGCTGGGCATGGTGGCGCGTGCCTGTAATCCCAGCTACTCAGGAGGCTGAGGCAGGAGAATTGCCTGAACCCAGGAGGCGGAGGTTGCGGTGAGCCGAGATCGGGCCATTGCACTCCAGCCTGGGCAACAAGAGCGAAACTCAGTCTCAAAAAAAAAAAAAAAAATCTGTTCCCGCATCCAAGTGCTCACTGTGTATTAAGGAGATAGATGTGCTACCAAATGTTCAAAACATAAGGCAGAAGATGCAAAGGCCACATGTGGTCTGATCCACGGATGTGAAACATCCACAAATCCATAGAGACAGAAAGGAGATTGCTGGTTTCCAGGCACTAAAGGGAGGGGAACTGGGACTCCCTGTGAAACAGGTGCAGAGTTTCTTTTGAGGGGGTGGAACTGTTCTGGAATTAGATGATGGTTTTACAACATAGTGAATATACTAAAAACCACTGAAATGTGCACTTTAAAATGGTGAATTTTATGTCATGTGAAGTATATCTAAATTTTTTGAAAGCTCTAAGTGTGTTTTTAAAAAGCAGAATAAAAAGCAAACGAACCAAAAACCTTGGATCATGCGGCCCCTGTCAGAGGGACTTGTGCCTAAGCATTGGGAGGGCTGTGAGGAGGCAGCATTTCACAGGCGGAGCTGGAGACGGAGGGCCTTCAGCGAGGGGGGTGGGGTCTGCACCAGTCGGGTGACCGTCGTGGGACAGATCGGCAAACATGGCTCAGGGCCCAAGGCCATGCTGGGGACTTGGAAGGACTGGCTCTGTCCTGCAAGTAGACTGCTGGAAGCTCCTCCTCCAAGTTCCAGGAAGCAGGGAGCTAGGCTTTGCCTCCCCACCATATCCACCTCAGGCCCCCACAGGGAAGAAGTAGACCCAAGAGTGTGCTCCCCCGAAGTGCAGCCTGAGAAAGCTGCCCCACCCCTGCCGTGCACACATGATGTCCTCAGCTCAGCACCCAGGAGCTGGAGGCCAGGGAACCCCCAAAGAAGTCCCTCTTCCCCAGGGAGCCCCTGATGTGATGCAGGCCCTTTTTCTCCCCAATGCCACAGGCTTCCTGCCCACGCTGGGCCCAGCCTGGGTGAACATGTACGGCTCCACACGTAACTACACACTGCTGGACGAGCACCAGGACCTGAATGAGGGCCTCGGGGAGGGCGTGTCCTTCCGGGCCCGGCTCCTGCTGGGCCTGGCTGTGGAGATCCTGGATACCTCCAACCCTGAGCTCACCAGCTCCACAGAGGTGCAGGTGGAGCAGGCCACGCCCATCTCAGAGGTGAGACCCCAGGCACCGTGCTGTCCCCCAAGGCCCCCAGCTCAGCCCCTTTCTCCCCAAGGCACCTCGGTGCCAGGCTTTGCCTGTTGCTGCCCTGTCTACCTGAGAGGTCAGACGTCAGGATTCGGCTCCTCCCCAGGAAGCAGAGGCCCCCACTCAGCCCCCAACAGGACTCTGCCCTCATCTACTGCCTGCCTGTGCTCTGTCTTATGACAGCCGCCAGGTCTCACGAAGGTGCCTCCCCTCGACCCCTCTTCCCAGCCGCACTGTCCCTGTGGTGTTTGAAGCCAGCCCTGCTTCCATGGATATCCAGGCGTGGGGGCAGTTGGGGTCTGGGCTGCCTGGCCCCAAAGCCGGGTGGGATGCCCCCACCATCCGCCCCCAGGCCTGTCTGTGAGATGGAAAGAGGCCAGGCCCTCGGCCTGCCATCCCTACTCAAGCTCAGGAATGGTTTGAACTATCTCCCCACAGAGCTGTGCAGGGAAAATGGAGGAATTCTTTCTCTTTGGAGCCTTCCTGGAGGCCTCGATGATCGACCGGAGAAATGGAGACAAGCCCATCACCTTTGAGGTCACCATAGGTGAGTGCTGGGCCCATGGGGCTTCAGGCCTCGGCTGCAGGTGGTGAGTATGAGGCTCTGCACCCCAGCCCTGAGGAGAGGGGCACATTGACCTCTTTCCCCTGAGTAGCCTCAGGCATGCAGGAAACAGCTTTATGTGTGCATGGGGGTGGACCAAGCCCCAAAGAGGGGCCAGCCCTCAGCTCCACCTACAGGGTGAGGCTGTGTGTGGGGCCTGGGGCAGAAGGCAGGGAGAACCCTCCCGGGGCTGGAGAGGAGAGAGTGGGAACTCAGGCCATGGCCCAGGCTGGGGCTGGGCCTGGCACACAGGCGTCATCAGGACTCCCCCACCTCTTAGCGGAGTGGGGACATGGGCACCTCTCTCTGGCTAGTGTTGTGTCACATCTGAGCCCCCTTCACTGACTCACCCTGCCCGCTTTCCCAAACCCAAGGCAGCACCGGATTGGACAGTGGGCGGGGCCTGGTGGGGAACACGCTGAGGCCTTCTGGGCCCATTCTGCCTCCAGGCAACTATGGGAACGAGGTGGATGGCCTGGCCCGGCCCCAGCGGCCTCGGCCCCGGAAGGAGCCCGGGGATGAGGAGGAAGTAGACCTGATTCAGAACTCCAGTGACGACGAGGCCAGTGATGGCGGTGACCTGGCCTCAGTCTCCTCCACTCCACCCATGCGGCCACAGGTCACCGACAGGTGGGCCCAGCCCCCCATCCTCTTTGGCCTGCCCTCCTGCCTCCCTGGGTCCCCAAGACCTCACCTCCCCCCTCTGCCCACCCCAGGAACTACTTCCATCTGCCCTACCTGGAGCGGAAGCCCTGCATCTACATCAAGAGCTGGTGGCCGGACCAGCGCCGCCGCCTCTACAATGCCAACATCATGGACCACATCGCTGACAAGCTGGTCAGGGCCGGGGGTGGCCAGCAGCGGTGGGGCCTGGGGGAGAGGGTATAGCCTGCAACACAAAGCTGGTCTGCCCAGGGAGCTGCAGGAACGGCCCCAGCAGGACCTCTGTTCCCATCCTCAGCCCCAGGTCCCAGGGCATGGACACGAGCAGGGGCCACCTCTAGTTACTGCAGCCCCCAAGGAACCTGGGGGCAGGAGTGTTGGGTTCCCTGATTTTTCCAGAAATCTTAAAAGCAACACTAAGGTGCCAGACATGGTGACTCACGCCTGTAATCCCAACACTTTGGGAGGCCAAGGCGGGTGGATCACCTGAGGTCAGGAGTTTGAGCCAGCCTGACCAACATAGTGAAATGCCGTCTCTACTAAAAATACAAAAATTAGCGGGACGTGGTGGTTCGTGCCTGTAATTCCAGCTACTTGGGAGGCTGAGGCAGGAGGATTGCTTACCTAGGAGGTGGTGGTTGCAGTGAGCAGGGATTGTGCCGCTGCACTCCAGCCTGTGCAACCGAGCAAAACTTCATCTCAAAAAATAAAAATAAAGCAAGGCTAGAGAAGGGAAGAAAATGGGGAGAAGGGAGAAGGGAGCAGTGCCTTCCCATCCTGGGTGGGCAGGGACCAGCAGATAATCCCACCCTTCCCTGAGCTATTGCTGTACTCTGAAGCTCAGCCAGCTCATATTTTATAAAAATGAATTAAAATCTCCAAAAAAGATCCAGGCTAATATGAGGTTTGCTCCCAGCCCCCTGCCAATGTTCTCCCTGCAACCCTTGCCTTGTGACTATAACCACAATTAAAGCCCCTAGCCTTTCCAGTGTGACCTGGGCCTGCAGTTATCTGCAAGGCTTCTCCCTAAGGAGTTGGGATACTAGCTGACCTGTGTCTCCTGTGGGGCCTGGGTGCTCCCAGTGATCTCAGAGTCAGAGCCACGCCCTCCTTCCCCAGGCATGTGTTCCCATCCCCTGCCACAGGCCCCAGCATTCTGGAGTGAAGTCAGGATCCTGGCGCATCCAGTCTGGGGTTTCCCTCTGTCTCTGGCTTCCCCTGAGCCCCCTCCCTATCCCTGAGTTCTGCCCAAGCCCTGTGAGCCCACCAGAGCCACAGACTCACAGCCCAGAAGTGGCTTCTTCCTTCAGGAACTGAAGAACCCACGAACACCAAGGTCTCCAGGTTCTGAGAACAGAACCTGGGAAATTGATGACTTCCTCATAATGACCGATACTCAGGATGGCCCTAGAGAGAGCTCCCAGATCATGAGGTCCCTCACTCACCTGATCAACGGGGTGGAGACATTTGGGAAGGCTGGAGAGGCGGGGCTGTGGCCTGGTGTCACCCACACTCCTGGTTCACAGGAAGAAGGCCTAAACGACGTGCAGGAGATGATCAAAACAGAGAAGTCCTACCCTGAGCGTCGCCTGCGGGGCGTCCTGGAGGAGCTGAGCTGTGGCTGCTGGTGAGACGGGAGGGGCAACAGGTGGGGACAGGACAAGGTGGAACTAGACAAAGGGGACCCTGCCAGGGCTGGGCAGATGTGGAAGGACCTACAGAGCCCCTGCTGGTCAGGCTCTCTAAACCCAGCTCCCGCACCCCTAGCCGCTTCCTCTCCCTCGCTGAGAAGGACCAGGGCCACTCACCCCGCACCAGGCTTGACCGGGAGCGCCTCAAGTCCTGCCTGAGGGAGCTGGTGAGCACGAAGCTGGACCGCAGGGGCTGGAGGGAGGGCCTGGCTGTGAGAAGGTGTCACAGCTGCCTGTCATGGCCCGAGCTGTCACCCCCTCCCACGCAGGAAAGCATGTGGCAGCAAGCCAGGACCCTGCGGGCCCAAGTGAAGCGGCACACGGTACGGGACAAGCTGAGGCTGTGCCAGAACTTCCTGCAGAAGCTGCGCTTCCTGGCGGATGAGGTGTGGCCCAAGTGGAGGGGCTTCGCCTCATGCAGGGCTGGCTCTCTGGGGTCCCTCAGGCTCAGGGGGCTCAGTCAAGAGGCTGGAACCCCTTACCCGTTGCCCCTGGCCACCCCCCAGCCCCAGCACAGCATTCCCGACGTCTTCATCTGGATGATGAGCAACAACAAGCGCGTGGCCTACGCCCGCGTGCCCTCCAAGGACCTGCTCTTCTCCATCGTGGAAGAGGAGACCGGCAAGGACTGCGCCAAGGTCAAGACGCTCTTCCTCAAGGTGCCCGACGGGGCAGGATGGATGGGAGCCTGGATCCTTTCGGGGGGCAGCAGCCCTCACCTGGGGCTAGAGGGCCTGAATGACAGGGTGGGGCCTTCAAGCCACAGGTGCTTAGAGAAGAACCAAGAATGGGAATCGGGTGGGGAAAGGGTGGGAAAGGGAGTGGGACAGCCCCCTGCCCATCCCCCTGTCTCCACCCCACCCCAGCCCAGTGGGATGGCTTTGAAGGGGCAGAGCAGCTCTGACCAGGGCCTCTGCCAGCCCCTGCCCCTTCCCCACCCCGTGGGCCCTGACAGCTATCAGGCTCCTGCTGACCCCATGCCCACTCCCAGTTGCCGGGGAAGCGGGGCTTCGGCTCAGCGGGCTGGACGGTGCAGGCCAAGCTGGAGCTCTACATGTGGCTCGGCCTCAGCAAACAGCGCAAGGACTTCCTATGCGGCCTGCCCTGTGGCTTCGAGGAGGTCAAGGCAGCCCAGGGCCTGGGCCTGCACGCCTTCCCCCCCGTCAGCCTGGTCTACGCCAGTGAGTGAGGACCCCTCATTCGAAACCTCACCTGGGAGGGGTTGGAGGGGCTGCCGTCCTGGAGCCTCAGGCTTCCCTTCCCCGCAGAGAAGCAGGTGTTCCAGCTCCGAGCCCACATGTACCAGGCCCGAAGCCTCTTTGCCGCCGACAGCAGTGGACTCTCAGACCCCTTCGCCCGTGTCTTCTTCATCAACCAGAGTCAGTGCACAGAGGTGAGGGCCTGCGGGAGGGAGTGGCTCTGGCTCTGAGAGCAGCAGGAAGCGTGTGAGCCTGTGGGGCCCGAGACACAGCTCAGCCAGCGCCCCGGCTTCTCAGGGGAAGCCCTGCAAATAACTGCAGACCCGGGTCACACTGGAAAGGCTATGGCTTTAGTTGTGGTTATAGTCACAAGATGGGGACGACAGGGAGGAATTGGCAGGGGCCTTGGGCAAACCTCATATTAGCCTTGATTTTAAGATTTCTGGAAGAATCAAGAAACTTGTCACTCCTGCCCCCAGGTTCCTTGGAAGCTGAGTGAGTGGGGGCGGTTTCTGTTCGTGCATCTGCCCACCCTCTGTCACTTGTCACCTGTCTCCCCATCCCCTGCTGCAGGTGCTGAATGAGACCCTGTGTCCCACCTGGGACCAGATGCTGGTGTTCGACAACCTGGAGCTCTATGGAGAAGCTCAGGAGCTGAGGGACGACCCGCCCATCATTGTCATTGAAATCTACGACCAGGATACCATGGTTCGGATGGGCTCTGGTGCCAGGGACCCCAGCAGCACCACACCTGACCCTGGTTCCCTGCACTCCACCTGCACTGAGGCTGTGCCAGCCACCTCCACCACCCACCCCCCATCCTGCAGCAGAGCTCCTTGGCTAGGTGCTGGCTGGGAAGCTGGGCTGCCACCCAGTCCGTCCAGATGCCTCCTTGCCGCTTGTGGAAGCCTGACCCCTCCCCTGGCCAGGACATCCTCACCTCCTGTCACCCACAGACTGAGCCCTGGAGATGTGCTGGCCAGTCCTTCTGTCCCTAGCCTCCCCACCCCAGGGTTCCCCTACCCCTGCCCACACCTACCACAACCAGGAACAGCCTTGCCACCTTCGCCTCCATGGAGGTTCTGGAGTAGGGAGTAAGGGATTGGGGTGATCCCTGAGAGTTAGCGAGCCACCTTCCCCCGCACCACCTCAGCTGCTGAGGTACCCAGACTAGACTAGAGGCAGGACGACTTCATGTCCAGTCCTGAGCCCGGTATTTGCCATTCACTGACTGCTTGGCTTTGAACAAGTCTTTGGGGGACCCCAGGACTTGGTTTCCCCATCTGTAAAATGGGGGGATCACACCTGTCCCTTTCAACAACTCACGGGGCTGTGGTAAGGACTAAATGAGATCACAGGTGTGGACAGCAAGCACCAAGAGGCATCGGGTTGTTTGTTGTGTCAGGGCAAAGCTGACTTCATGGGCCGGACCTTCGCCAAGCCCCTGGTGAAGATGGCAGATGAGGGGTACTGCCCACCCCGCTTCCCGCCCCAGCTTGAGTACTACCAGATCTACCGCGGCAACGCCACAGCTGGAGACCTGCTGGCAGCCTTCGAGCTGCTGCAGGTGGGCCTGCAGGGGGAGGGGCTAGGGGCTAGGGCTGGGAGATGGGGCCTGGGGGCCTCTCTCCTTCACATCCTGACCGAAGCTGGGGATTTGTGGTTCTTAGGGGGTCTTCCCTGTCTCCCCAGATCTCATGGCAAACAACTCATGGGGAGAGAGACCCTGCCCCTGGGCTCCCCAGTGTGTGACCTGTGATCCTCATTCCCCAGATTGGGCCAGCAGGGAAGGCTGACCTGCCCCCCATCAATGGCCCGGTGGACATGGACCGAGGTCCCATCATGCCTGTGCCTGTGGGCATCCGGCCCGTGCTCAGCAAGTACCGAGTGGAGGTGCGAGGGCCCCGTGTGGCCCCTCCCTTTTGGATGAGGAGACTGAGGGCCCAGGAGGGAAGTGACTTGTCATCCCCCTCCCACCACCATCACCAGGAGCCAGCAGCAGCCCCAGGCCTTTGCCCAGTCCAGGGCCTGCCCCGTCTGCACCAAGTCACACTGCGGTGTCCCAGGACCGTGCCCAGCCCTCCTGTCTGCACCCCTGACTCTGCACCCCTTCTCCCGGCAGCCCCACCCTCATCCCTAGAGGACGCCCGCCTCCTCCTCTGCTCTCCTGGCCTTGCTCTCGCCGTCTGAAATCTGGGGGGGGCTTCTGCCCATCCCACTGCGCAATTCCTTCTCGGGTGGTCCAGCGCCCCCGTGGCGGCTCCCTTGACCAAAGGGCTCTCTTCTCCTCACCACCCTCTCCCAGGTACTGTTCTGGGGCCTACGGGACCTGAAGCGGGTGAACCTGGCCCAGGTGGACCGGCCACGGGTGGACATCGAGTGTGCAGGGAAAGGAGTGCAGTCGTCCCTGATCCACAATTATAAGAAGAACCCCAACTTCAACACCCTCGTCAAGTGGTTTGAAGTGGTGAGTGTAGGCCCTGGTGGAGGCTGCCCTATGGCCAGCGTGGCTCCACTCAGCCAGCGGCTTCCTCTGCCCCTTCTCGGAGGCTCAGGCTCCTGTCGCCAACACCCCAGGACCTCCCAGAGAACGAGCTGCTGCACCCGCCCTTGAACATCCGCGTGGTGGACTGCCGGGCCTTTGGCCGATACACACTGGTGGGCTCCCATGCTGTCAGCTCCCTGCGACGCTTCATCTACCGGCCCCCAGACCGCTCGGCCCCCAGCTGGAACACCACGGGTATGGCCACACCCACCCTGCCGCCAAGCCTGGCTGCACACCATCAGGGCAGGACTCCAGGTCTCAGTCCAGTCCAAACGACAGTGAGAGTTTGCTCCTTGGGGCCAAGGAGGTGGGCAGGGAAGAAGGTCCACCCTGGTGGGCTAGGAAGGCTGCCCAGGGTGACCCCAGCTCTACAGCCAGAGAGGGCAGAGCTGGAGACAGCCTGGGAGGACCTGAGGGCAGAAGCAGGCTGATGGAGAAGACCAGGGCCTCCCCACCACTGCCTCCCTCCCACCAGCCTCCGCAGCTGCCCCTTCTCTCAGGCTCTCTTCCTCCCTCCCCACACCCATCTTTCCTCCCTTGACTGCCCTGTCCACTCTCCCTCAGAAAGCTCCAGAGTCAGCTTTAGTTCTCTGCACCTTCCTGCCCTCACAATCTCACTGTTCCTCTTGCTCCTTCCTCTGTCTGCCTGTCTGTCCACCTGTCTGTCTGTCCAGTCAGGCTTCTCCGGCGCTGCCGTGTGCTGTGCAATGGGGGCCCCTCCTCTCACTCCACAGGGGAGGTCGTGGTGAACATGGAGCCAGAGGTACCCATCAAGAAACTGGAGACCATGGTGAAGCTGGATGCGGTAAGGTGGATGGGGTCGGCCCTGCGCTGGCTGGGAACGTATGACTTCGTGTGACACATCCTGTGAACCAGACTATCTGCCCTGAGAGAGAACAACACTAAGAGCCTCCTTTGGCATGTTACTGTTGGGGGCTGACCTTGATTGTGTGTGTAAACAGCTCCCTCCTAACACTGTCCTGGAATGCACATGGCTGTGTGTGTGGGTGTGTGTGGTGTGTAAATGTACATGTGTGGTGTGTGTGTGTGTGTGGTGCATGTGCATATGCACATGCATACATGTGGGTGGTGTGCAAATGTGCATGTGTGTGGTGTATGTGCATATGCATATGTGTGCATGTATGGTGCGTAAATGTGGGTGTATGTGGTGTGTAAATGTGCATGTGTGTGGTGTGTAAATTGTGTGTGTGGTGTAGATGCCTATGTGCATGTGTGCACATGTGGTGTGTAAATGCATGTGTGTGCATGTGTGGTGTGTAAATGTGTGTGCACGTGTGGTGTGTAAATGTGTGTGCGTGTGTGTAGTGTGTAAATGTGCATGTGTGTATCATATATGTATGTGTGCATGTGTGCGTGTGTGGTGTGTAAATGCGTGTGTACATACATGTGGTGTGTGAATGTGCGTGTGTGTGCGTGTGGTGTGTAAATGTGTATGTGTGCGTGCATGTGGTGTATGTGCCTATGCACGTGTGTGCATGTGTGTGTTATGTGTGTATAAGAGACAGGGCAAGCCATCACCATTAAGATAATCACCTGCCATAATTTTTACTCCAACAAATGACACTATAGGTAATGATTCCTTGAGATCACCAGTGTCCTTTCCAAAGGTTACCTGTTTTCCATCCCAGCCATTCATAAATGACACTTCCCTGGCCTGGGTAGGGAGAGGATTTCCAGGTGGAAGCTTCCTATTCCTCCTGGCTTTGGGACTAGGACCGTTCATCTGCCAGAGAGAGATCTGCCACCTGGGGGTTGCATGTGGGAGTGGCCTACAAGCTGCAGGCCCTACAGGGAAGGGCAGAATGCTGGCCAGCTTGAAACAAGCTCCCCCTCCCCCACCCCGTTCCTTTGGCCACCCAAAGAAACATCCTCACACAGACCCTTTGCAGACTCACCAGTCAGAGTGCTCTTATTAATGCAGAGTTGGCCTGGTGGGCACAGGGGCTGCCAGTAATTTCCATCTTGGCTCCTCCACGCACCCTGTGCCGGGATGCTGCTGCCTGCCACTCAGGCCTCAGTGGCTAATTCTGTTCCTGTCTCCTCGGTTCCTCTGCAGACTTCTGATGCCGTTGTCAAGGTGGATGTGGTGAGTTTGGGGACCATGCAGGGGCTCTGGGGTGAGAGGGCCCTATGTTGGCAACGGTGTCAGGCCACAGGGCCCAGCATCAGGGACAGAGCCTGCCCAGCCCCCGCATGCTTGGGCCACCACATCTCCCCGAAGATGCAGTGGAAAAGAGCTAGGTGGATGCAGGACTCTGAGTGCCAGTCCTGCCTGGCCAGTGGCTCACACTGGGCAGGTCATGACCCTCTGCGAGTCATGGCACCCCCTCCATAAAACAAGGCCCTGCCCTTTGGACATGGGTGGCTCTCCAGAGCCTCACGGAGCCCAAGGCTTCCTGCGAGCAGATGGCAGAATGGGTGTAGGTGCTCAGGATTGTCCAGGCAGCAGGGGCCCATGTAGGACTCTGGACCTGGCCAACCTACAGGCTGAGGAGGAGAAGGAGAAGAAGAAGAAGAAGGGCACTGCGGAGGAGCTGGATGAGGAGGAGCCAGACGAGAGCATGCTGGACTGGTGGTCCAAGTACTTTGCCTCCATTGACACCATGAAGGAGGTGAGACCTCGGGCAGCGTGAGGGGAGGCGACCCCTCCACACTCAGTCCTTCCTGTAAGCTTCCTTCCCATGGCCCCCAGAGCTGGGTCCCACCTCCATTCATGTGAGCTTCGGATGGCCTTGTCTCACATCCTTGAAATCCTCCTCAGAACTCACCTTCCCAGATGGTGATCCGGCCTACCTTACTGGCTTGGTTTCTTACTGGCTTTTGTCCTCATTAATTCATTCCACAAATGCATCTTGGGTATATACAATGAGCCAGGCTCCATACTAGGTGCTATGGGAGCCAAAAGATAGCATACCTGCCCTGAGGGGCCCCCGGTTTACTGGGCAAAATGGACATGTGAACAGACACTTAGAGGATCAGGTGATAACAAAGGTAAATCATGGTCTGGGGGAATCAGGGAAGGCATCCCAGAGGAGGTGAACTTTGTGAAAAAGGAGAAACATGTTCTCAGAGGCCATAAGGGAACAACTGCTTATCAATAGTCTTTACAACTTTTCTCCATACTGTTTTATTTTATGCATCTTGGTCATCAGCGTGTGAATGATTCTTCCCTTATATGTGGGTTCCGTCTGTTTAGCCAGATTGCAAGTTCCAGAAAGTGCATTTCTCCTCTCCGTTTGTGTGCTCTCCACACTGCCCACCTAGCTCAGGGCACTCTGACTGGCCACCTGGCCAGGAGGGACACGTGCCTGCAGTTGTGTTTCCTCAGTGGGGCCAGAGCTGATCCAGTCACACTCTCTCCCAGACCCTTTCTGTGATCCAAGCTGGGTGTGATATTTACCATCCATATTAGTTAGAGCACACATTAAGCTGCTGAATCAAGTTAGAGTGACGTGAACAAGACAGTAGTTTCTCACTTAACATCTCAGAGAGCGGGGGTTAGGCTGGTAGGGTGGCTCAGTGGTGTCAAGAACTAAGATCCCGACGTCTTGTTTCTCACGTCTGTAGGGTTAGAGGTGACTCAACATCATGTTCGAGTTCAAGTGCACAGGAAGGGTTAAAGACGAGAGGAGTCATACGCCTTTCTTTTTCAGGGCCCAACCCAGAAGTTGTATATATCACTTCCACTCACATTGCCCAGAATCTAGTCCCTTAGCTACACTTATCTGCAAAGGAGGCTGGGAAATGTAATCTTTAACAAGGTGGCTGTGTGCTCAGCAAAATTTCTAAAAATAGGAGAACAGATCATTGGAGACTATGAGTAGTCTCTCCTCCCACCATCAAGTTGGCCACGCTAGAGCTGCAAGAGGCTGCCTGTCGTCGTCTCTACTCCTGCAATTTTCACAGATGGCCACCAGGTGGCGGTGGCGACTTACTTGAAACCTGGTTTCTAGTTTCAGTAAGATGGGATGTGCTGAGTGAAAGAATACAGCACATTTTCTTACTGTTATACTTTTCTATATTGAAACAATTTATTAACACCACTAAAAGCAACATTGATACACTACTTTTTAATGATACACAGTGTAAAGATGCATAAACCCTTAAGTACCATTAGTCACATGGTACACATTATAAACTTCTCTTTACCCTTAAGCAGAGCACATAGTGGATCTGAAATGCAGTCAGGAAGATGTTCTACTTCTAGTGCATTAAGACAGGTCTGGGCCCACAATCTGGGGTCAACAGACTCCTCCCCAGGAAACCCGCCTTCTCTCCTTCTCATCTCATTTTTTGGCAGCAACTTCGACAACAAGAGCCCTCTGGAATTGACTTGGAGGAGAAGGATGAGATGGACAATACTGAAGGTAAGCCCTGGAACCTGGATTCTGCCTCCTTCTCCCCGCCCCTGGGTGGCTGGCTCTCCTGCCCACCCACCACCTGCCTCTCTTTCCCCTGCCTCCAGCCCTCCCATTCTTAGCAGCAAAAACAGCATCAGTCATCGGTGGGCACTGGGCAGGCTAAGGCCCTAGTCTACGGTGCTTTTACTCTGACCAGTTCAGCACCCACAGTGATAGACAGACATTTAGAGCCACAGAACATCAGAGCTGGAAGGGACCTCAGAGCTCATTCCATCCAGCATTTTCCAGACTCTTTTCCATGAAGAAAATTGATGGGTATTCTAGAAGGAATAAATTAGTTTAGGAAAAGCTGATTGAAACAGCCTGTTTTTGTGCAGGGCTTTTCAGAGCCTTACTTTACTTTGCAAAGGTTATTATACATCTCTAAAAGGAAGACATAATATAAAGTATTTCTCCAGCTTATTAGACCACAGTACCCTTTCTTCTAAAGCATGCCAGCAGCATCTGCACCCAGTGCTCCACTGAATGCAGTTTGGGAAATGCTAATACAGAGTGTTATTATTAGGGACAAGAAGAGGGAAGCTAGTGAGGAAAGTCAATGAGCAGGAGCAGTCCTCCGTCCCCAAACCTGTGCTCCTTCCTGCCCCTCTCTGCCAAAGAACATGATGATGGACTTCGGACACCTTCCCGAGCATGCGCTTCCTGGAGCCCCCAGCACCTGCATGAGGCGGGCATGCCAGGGAGTACTGTCTGCATTTGACAGTACATGGACATCAGAGAGTTAAATTAGTAAAAAGCAATTAGTGTCAGAGCTGGGTCTGAATCCAGGCCTTCCTGCTCTGCTCATTTCTGCTCCACCTCCATTTCTGCTTCTGGCCAGGCCTGAAGGGGCCAGTGAAGAGCAAGGAGAAGGCAAGAGCCGCCAAAGAGGAGAAGAAGAAGAAAACCCAGACCTCTGGCTCTGGCCAGGGGTCTGAGGCCCCTGAGAAGAAGAAACCCAAGATTGATGAGCTTAAGGTGAGATCCTGGAAGCAGAGCCTTCTAGGGAGTTCGGGGGAGAGGTGGCGGGCGGGGGAGGGGTGATCCCGCAGATGGGGCAGGATGAAAGCCAGAGACCAGGCAGCGCCCCCTAATGGCATGGTCTGGTTCAGGTGTACCCCAAAGAGCTGGAGTCCGAGTTTGATAACTTTGAGGACTGGCTGCACACTTTCAACCTGCTTCGGGGCAAGACCGGGGATGACGAGGATGGCTCTACCGAGGAGGAGCGCATTGTGGGCCGCTTCAAGGTCAGGCGAGGAGCACAGGCCCAGCCCCTGCGCACCCCGGCCCCCGCCCCCGCCCCAACACAGGCTCTCCCGCTCACGTCCCACCACTGCCCTGGCCCCTCCCTCCATGAAAGTCCAGAGCCCTGGAATTTCCCATGACTCAGCTCCTAAAGGGCGAAGGCCCTGCCACTTCGGGGTCCAGCCCTCCCGGTGCTGTTAGCTATTTTGACTGCTACCCCTGCCAGGCAAACCTACACCCTGACTCACATTTGCCTTGCCCAGGGCTCCCTTTGCGTGTACAAAGTGCCACTCCCGGAGGACGTGTCCCGGGAAGCCGGCTACGACCCCACCTACGGCATGTTCCAGGGCATCCCGAGCAATGACCCCATCAATGTGCTGGTCCGAGTTTATGTGGTCCGGGTGAGATTCCTGTCGCTTCCCCTCCTTGCACTTCTCCCCATCCTCCTGTCCGGGAGGGACTGAAGGAGCTGCATACTGGCCGGGCACGGTGGCTCATGCCTATAATCCCAGGACTTTGGTAGGCTGAGGCCGGCAGATCACCTGAGGTCAGGAGTTTGAGACCAGCCTGGCCAACATGGAGAAACCCCATCTCTTCTAAAAATACAAAAATTAGCCAGGCGCAGTGGCACAGCCTGTAATCCCAACTACTCTGGAGGCTGAGGCAGGAGAATCCCTTGAATCTGGGAGGCAGAGGTTGCTGTTGCTATGACCCAAGATCACACCACTGTACTCCTGCCTGGGCGACAGAGCAGGATTCCGTCAAAAAAAAAAAAAAAAAAAAGAAGGAAAAAAAAAGGAAGAATCTGCATACTGACATCCCCAGACTGGGAGGCACCAAGGAGGTCATTTGGTCTAGTCTTCATCTTTTCTAGAGGAGGAAGTCAAGGCCCAGAGAGGGGTAGCCACTTGCCTAGAGTCACACAGCAAGTCTCCTGACTGGTCCAGTGCTCCTGCCGCTGCCCTTCACCATCATAGGACCCTCGGGCAGCCTGGTAGGGGCACTGGAAGATGAGCAGGGCATGGGAGCCTGCTCAGGCAGCCCTCCTCCCAATCCCAGGCCACGGACCTGCACCCCGCAGACATCAACGGCAAAGCTGACCCCTACATAGCCATCCGGCTAGGCAAGACTGACATCCGAGACAAGGAGAACTACATCTCCAAGCAGCTCAACCCTGTCTTTGGGAAGTAAGCCCTCTTGGTGCCCTCCCCTGCCACAGCCCAACTTCTCCAGCCCAGACCACCTCCCACCCTAGCCCACCCTTCAACCTTTCTCCTAACTCCACCCCGCTAGGTCCTTTGACATCGAGGCCTCCTTCCCCATGGAATCCATGCTGACAGTGGCTGTGTATGACTGGGACCTGGTGGGCACGGATGACCTCATTGGAGAAACCAAGATCGACCTGGAGAACCGCTTCTACAGCAAGCACCGTGCCACCTGTGGCATCGCCCAGACCTACTCCACGTGTGTAGGACGAGGGGCAGAGGGCGGGGGCATTGTGCCTGCTTCACCTCCACTCTAAAATGAGGTTCAGATCGTGGTGACTTGGGAAGGTAGACACATCGAGGTTTCTGTCCCAGGCCAGGCCTCTGCTCCTACGGACCCTGGGCACAGCCTTCAGGACACAGGACTGCAGATCCCAAGACCAGGACAGGGCCAGAGAATTCCAGGACAGAGGAGGCGTGATGAGGAGAGACAAGTGGGCTAGGGAAGGTGGGGGCCAGCAGAGGAGGAGAAGAGTCCCCTGGGGATCTGGGCCAGCTCTGCCACTTATAGGCTGTGTGACCCTGGCCAAGTCCCTTCATCTCTCTGGGTTTCAGTTTCCTCATGGGAGACTCTGAGGTTTCAGAGGAGTGGGCACAGTGAGGGGATGCGGTGGGGCTGGGTTGGGGACACTGATACATGGGCCAAGGCCCAGGGCAGGAAGGTTCAGCCTCCAGCAACCCTGGTGTCTCAGGTGAGCCTGGGGCCCAGGGCAGGAGAGTTCAGGCTCGCTTGCTGATGAGGGCAACAGCCAGCTTTAGAGAACTGGCCACAACCAGCTGTCATCCAGGACGGCTTAGTCCCACCCAGCCCCTCCAAGCCTGTGTGTCCCCTCCCACAGACATGGCTACAATATCTGGCGGGACCCCATGAAGCCCAGCCAGATCCTGACCCGCCTCTGCAAAGACGGCAAAGTAGATGGCCCCCACTTTGGGCCCCCTGGGAGAGTGAAGGTGGCCAACCGAGTCTTCACTGGGCCCTCTGAGATTGAAGATGAGAACGGTAATGGGACACTGGATGCAGCCACCTGCTCCCTCTCCAGGGGGGTTCAGAGGCCAGGAGGGGCCCACACTTCCCTGCAGAACCTCACGGCCTAGTCTGGGGTGTCCTCAGCCTAAGCCTGGGCTTAGCGACCCTCTGCTCATCAGCCTAGAGCCCCGCTTCTGTCTGCCGGGCCTCTGTGCTTCTGCCCCTCAGGTACAGAGCAGTCCCACCTGCTTTCTCTCTGTCCAAATCTCAGTGAGGTAGAGAGGCTATCCCCATTCTGCAGATGAACAAACCAAGATCCTAGTTCTAGTTACTTGCCCAAGGTCATGTGGCTCTTTAGAGGCAGAACAAGGGCATCGGCCCAGGTCCATCTGGCTCTAATCCCTAAACTTACTCCTGTCTCCGTGAGGCACTTCCCAGAGAAGGAGAGAATCAGGTGGTGTCTGTGCCCGTATCTGATCACTTTCAGGTGCTGGGACAGGAAGTGGATTCTCCCCTCCCTGACCCCTCTCTCACAGCCCAGCAGAGTTCTCCAGTCAGCTTCCCCCAGCAGAGGACCAAGGGCACAAACCTCTCTTGGCCCAACCTGGGCAGGCCAATTCTCCTTCTGTGCCTCAGTTTCCCCAACAGTAAAAAGGAGGTGGGGTAGACAGGTGATGGTACAGGGACTTCTTTGTGCTCCTGAGTCCCTAGCCCCAGCAAAGGTTTCCTGTTTCTGCTGAGCCATGTGGGCAGCTGAGCCACCGGCACCCACAGGTCAGAGGAAGCTCACAGATGAGCACGTGGCACTGTCAGCCCTGAGGCACTGGGAGGACATCCCCCGAGCCGGCTGCCGCCTGGTGCCGGAACACGTGGAGACGAGGCCGCTGCTCAACCCCGACAAGCCGGGCATCGAGCAGGTGACACTGGCATGGCCAAGACTGGGGGTCTTGGATATTAGGGATCAGGGATTCCCAGCCTGGGTCAGTAAAGGTAGAAGCCAGGCCTCTCGCTGTCTGCTGCATTCCAGAAAACCTGGCAGGCACCTCCTCACCAAGGTCCCTCATGGTAACTTGAATGGCAAGTGTCTTTGCTTTGAGTGAGAATTACATCAGCTCAGGCAGACCTGGGTTGTCTCCCTCAGAAGCCGTGATTGGCTATTGGTGACGTCATAGGAATTCCTGGCATCCAAAGATGGAAATTGATGAATTGGGTCCTTGAAAGAACAAAGGTTAGGAGGGAGAGGACAGCTGACCTTCCTGGGCAGAGGGAGAAGGCCTGGGAGATCTGCCACAACCCTCTTCCTCAGGGCCGCCTGGAGCTGTGGGTGGACATGTTCCCCATGGACATGCCAGCCCCTGGGACGCCTCTGGACATCTCCCCTCGGAAGCCCAAGAAGTGAGCACCCCTGCGCCCAGTGCTACTCCCTCCCAGCCCACCCCACCCACTTCCCTCTATGAACCAACCTTTCCTGCGGGAGGCTCAGGCCCAGATGGCCTTGGCCAGTTGGCATCCCTAGGACCTGGGTGTGGCCACTGGGCCTGGGGTAGAAACTGACCAACCAATCAGTAGAGTTTAGAGCATGTCCTGGAGAGCCCCCATGTGCTAAGGCAGGACAAGACCTTCTACCCTGCGCCGTCAGTGATGGAGATGAGCCCCACGCAACACACATCCATCTGCACAGTCTATACATGCATCTCATGCACACGCACAGCACAGCACTCCCACGGGCACCCACACACCTGCCCACACTGACATACTCCTTCACAACACACACAATCCCTGGCAGCCCGCCCTGCGTCGTCCTCACATCTAGGCTAGTGTGATGTTCTGCCAAGTTTCCTTTAAAGTGCCTGCCGGTGATGTGTGCAGGAGTGAGTATGTAGAAGAGGCAGGATATGGTGGAGTGAAAAGAACCCAGGTTTCCCATCTGTAAAGCGGCAGGTTCGAGCCCAGCTGCCAGACAGTGCCTGGATTCAGGATGGAGGAAGCCACACACAGTCCCATTCTTGTTTCCATGCTCCGATGTTGCCATCTTGAAATTCTTTATGACAAGTGGCCCTGCATTTTTTTTTTTTTTTTGAGACAGAGTCTCACTCTGTCACCCTGGCTAGAGCGCAGTGGTGCGATCTAGGCTTACTGCAACCTCTGCCTCCCCAGGTTCAAGCAATTCTCCTGCCTTGGCCTCCCAAGTAGCTGGGACTACAGGCGCTTGCCACCATGCCTGGCTAATTTTTTTGTATTTTTAGCAGAGACGGGGTTTCACTATGTTGGTCAGTCTGGTCTTGAACTCCTGTTTGCACTGGCCCCGGCAAGTGCAGCCAGCTCTGCCAGGAATGTCCTGGAAACCTGAGGCCCTGAGTCAGCTGTTCCAGGGCCTGTCACTAGGGGGCACCCAACCCGCTGGGCCACTCTGGGCTCGCAGCCCTTTCTGCAATCTGAGGAGAGCCATGCTCCGATCAATTTTTAGTGAATGACTCAGCCTTACTCTTAATGATTGAAATGAACTACATCATTCATAAATACAATTAAACCTTGAGGGGAAAATCCTCTTTGGGGACAGGGACATACAGGAAACCAGATTCCATGGGCTTCCATTGCTTGCTACTGGGCTTAAATGCAGACTTTTCTTGGAACTAGCATCTGAAACAAAGGGTGGCTTCCCCCGACACCCACAGCCATGTGCCTGGCGGGCCCTCCCTCTCATGCCTCTGCTCCCCACACCCCCATCACTCCTCGAGCCCCAGCCTGGCCCAGGACCCCTGCTGACCCCAAGTTCCCCAGGGCTTCTCTCCACCTGCCATCCCAGCCCCGGCACCCTGGCATAAACCCCCACCGGAGGCTGCTAACCAGCCCTCTCTCCCCGGGCCCAGGTACGAGCTGCGGGTCATCATCTGGAACACGGATGAGGTGGTCTTGGAGGACGACGACTTCTTCACAGGGGAGAAGTCCAGTGACATCTTCGTGCGGGGGTGTGTGAGCAGTCCCTGCATGGGAGGGACTAAGCTGGGGGGCTCTGCTTCCTGGGGGGCAGGAGAGGAGGCAGGGGGAAGGTGGCTGTGTGTGGGAGAGGCCCTGCCGGCCTGGCCACGGGTGTGGAGATGTGGTGCCCGCAGGTGGCTGAAGGGCCAGCAGGAGGACAAGCAGGACACAGATGTCCACTACCACTCCCTCACCGGTGAGGGCAACTTCAACTGGCGCTACCTATTCCCCTTTGACTACCTGGCGGCGGAAGAGAAGATCGTCATCTCCAAGAAGGAGTCCATGTTCTCCTGGGACGAGACCGAGTACAAGATCCCCGCGCGGCTCACCCTGCAGATCTGGGATGCGGACCACTTCTCCGCCGACGACTTCCTGGGTGCACAGCAGCGGGGGGATGGGGTGCTCCGGATCCAGAATTGAGGAGGGGCAGGGGCCGGGGAGGAAGGGACAGGGAGAGCCCCGCCCCAGGGGGAGGCATTATTGCTTCCAGTCTGTAAGACCCACAGGTGTCCGATGGGTTTCCGCCCCCAAGGACCCACCTAAGCATTCCCCGGGCAGATGTCCTCAGTGTCATAACCAGGTTGACAACAAGCTTTGGGCACACCAAGAAGGGGACAGTCAGTGCTGATGGGGGAGGGGAGAGGCTCCCTAAGGGAGTCAGGAAACCTCCCTGGGCCTCAGGTTGCTTCTCTGTAAAGCAGGGTTTCCCCCTAAAACTCTAATCTGCGTCTGCAAGCTTGTGGGATTAGCAGGTCTTTGACAGAATGGATGCATGGTCGGGAGTGGCAGGGGAGACCCCAGGAGAGACCCTCTGGTGTGAAAGAAGGACCTGAGTGAAGTGTGGGGGCTGGGGTTGCCCAGGGAGCTCAGAGCATGCTTGCATTGAGGCCAGTTGCTGGAGTAAGGCAGGAGGACGAGCTCTGGGCTTCGGGAGGTCTGCACTCAGCAAACAAGGGGCCGAGGAGCCCAGACCCCGCCCCAGCCCAGCCCTGTTCACTCAGAGCTGACTCTGAGGTCACCACAGGGGCCATCGAGCTGGACCTGAACCGGTTTCCTCGGGGCGCAAAGACAGCCAAGCAGTGCACCATGGACATGGCCACCGGGGAGGTGGACGTGCCCCTGGTGTCCATCTTCAAGCAAAAGCGCGTCAAAGGCTGGTGGCCCGTCCTGGCCCGCAATGAGAACGATGAGTTTGAGCTCACGGTGCGCACCCCCTCCAGCTCAGGCAGTAGGCAGGGCTGGGGTGCCAAAGGTCCAGCACCTGGCCTGGACTCTGGGACCTGTCTGTTCTCTGCAGGGCAAGGTGGAGGCTGAGTTGCATTTACTAACAGCAGAGGAGGCAGAGAAGAACCCAGTGGGCCTGGCCCGCAATGAACCTGACCCCCTAGAGAAACCCAAGTGAGTGCCCTGCCTGCCCAACCTCTCCCCACGCTGGTTCTTGTGGGCACTGGAACAGGAAGGAGACACTCCCCAGACACCCCCTCTCTTCCTGGGCCACAGCCTCATTACAGGGGAGCCTCCTCCCTGCCCTCTGCCGGCCCTGAATCCCACTACATCCCTTTGAACCAGAGGATGGGCTAGGAGTGCTGGAGAGTAGGACTTTTCCAGTAAAGACACCATTTAGCAGAGATAAATGCTATTCCCTTCCTAGCTTTTGCTGTAAAGAGTCAGCTCCAGTGGTGGCCTCTGGGACCTCAGCCAGCCTTGATGGCCAGAGGGGTGCCTAGAACTGCACACACAGCCCAGGGCAGCTTCCCTCTAGGTCCGGGCCCCTTGCCACACCCAACCCCTTCTCCTCCCTGTCCCTCCTCTGCGCTCTCTACTTTTCGTGCTCCAGCCGGCCCGACACAAGCTTCATCTGGTTCCTGAACCCTCTCAAGTCGGCTCGCTACTTCTTGTGGCACACGTATCGCTGGCTGCTCCTCAAACTGTTGCTGCTCCTACTGCTGCTCCTCCTCCTCGCCCTGTTCCTCTACTCTGTGCCTGGCTACCTGGTCAAGAAGATCCTCGGGGCCTGAGCCCGGCAGCCTCCTGGGTCTGATACTTCTCTCTTCTTCCTCTGGACCAAGGGCTAGGCAGGCATGCGCATGCACACACACACACACACACACACACACACTCACAAACACAAATATGCAGACATGTGCACATCAGCACAAACAAGGATATATGCACACATACGTGCCACACACAAGTGCATACACGTGCATTCAAGCACACACATGCACACACTTAAGCCCACACAAACATACACAGCCACTTTCAAGCTTTTATGACAGAATAACAGACTCTCAGAGCTAGAAATGACTATTTTACATTTTTCCATATTAAGCCAAAGAGGTGAAAGAGCTTGCTCAAGGTCACCCAGCAAATTAGGGTAGAGCCGGGACTCAAGCCAAGGTCTCCAAACTGCCAACCCTGTGTTCTTTGCACACCACCTCTGCTCCCAGCCACATTTCTCACAGACTCTAACACAATTTCATTGGCAGAAAGAAGCTGAGCTATGGACAGGGAAGAGGGAAGGGTGTGGCTAGGGTTAGCCAACGGGTCTGGAAGTGGTTCTCACTAGTGTGTGACCTCCCAGTCCAGGGCTGTTTTCTGCCCTTCATGGTTCCATTCAACTCCAACATTTTCTTGTCATATTATTATTATTATTATTATTATTTTGAGATGGAGTCTCACTCTATCCCGAGGCTGGAGTGCAGTGGTGCGATCTCGGCTCACTGCAAACTCCGCCTCCTGGGTTCAAGCAATTCTCCTGCTTCAGCCTCTCATAGCTGGGACTACAGGCATGTGCTACCATGCCCAGCTAATTTTTGTATTTTTAGCAGAGACGGGGTTTCACCATGTTGGCCAGGATGGTCTCTATTTCTTGACCTTGTGATCCGCCTGCCTTGGCCTCCCAAAGTGCTGGGATTACAGGTGTGCGCCACCGCTCCCGGCCTCAACTCAAACATTTAATAACCACCACGACCCGAACACCCACTACAGGTGCTCAGAGCTCCCCAGGCACTGGCTCACTTCGCCATTGCACCAACCCCAGGGGGTAGATAACTGCTTGTAACCCCATTTTATACATGAGGAAACCATGGTTGATAGAGGTGCCTAACTTGCCTGTGAAAACCATTCAAAACCAGGTGCCCTGCACCCAAGCCCTGGCCCGGTGTCCCCCCCAATACTGAGCTCAGCTCTGGGGCTGCACACCATGTCCTCTGGGAGGCAGTAGTTTGAAAATGTATATTCGGTACTTTCACTTTGTATCTTGATATTTTACAAAACCTATTGTTTTTATAACACGAACAACCGATAGTGAGGCTGGCCGGGTGCTTCTCAGCTGGGAGGCTCTGCAAAAGGTGGAGTGGGTCTGCACCCCGACAGTGCGCAGGTCGGTGAGGGTGGCTTGCGCCCCAAAGGGGCAGCTCAGACCCTCAGCAGGGCCCAGTGGGAACAGACGTTTATGTCCATCAGAAAGGAAGAGATTTTGAAACACTGGTCTCACCGAGGATATGGGGCAGCACATAGAATGAACTGACCACAGGAGCTTACTAACCATGAGAACTGCCTGCAGGGCCAAGGCTGCCCCACGCTGCAAGTAGCTCCCATCTAGGCCTTGGGAGGAGACTCGGGCCCCAGAGGTCCCACAGGGAGGATAGGGTTTTGTAAACAGCAAGCTGGGTACTTAGAAATGGGTTCAAACCCGGTAGGGTGCAGTGGCTCATGCCTGTAATCCCAGCATTTTGGGAGGCCGAGGTGGGAGGATCCCAAGGTCGGAAAATCGAGACCATCCTGGCAAATGGCTGAAACCCATCTCTACTAAAAATATAAAAAAATTAGCCGGGTATGGTGGCATGTGCCTGTAGTCCCAGCTACTAGGGAAGCTGAGGCAGGAGAATCGCTTGAACTCGGGAGGTGGAGGTTGCAGTGAGCCAGCGCACTCCATCCTGGGCAACAGAGTGAGATTCCATCTCAAAAAAGAAAGAAATGGGCTCAAATCCTGGCTTCAGCATTCACTGCTTTTGGAGTCCAGAAGGACAGAGGATTGGGTGCGCTGGAGGCACCTCCTGCCCACTGGCTGATGGACTCTCTTCCTCTTCCCAGCCGGCCTGACACGGCCTTCGTCTGGTTCCTCAACCCTCTCAAGTCCATCAAGTACCTCATCTGCACCCGGTACAAGTGGCTCATCATCAAGATCGTGCTGGCGCTGCTGGGGCTGCTCATGCTGGGGCTCTTCCTCTACAGCCTCCCTGGCTACATGGTCAAAAAGCTCTTGGGAGCATGAAGGCCGCCAGCTCCCGCCAGCCACTCCCCAGGCCTGCCACATTTCCTTTCGGTGGCTTGGCCTCTCCCATCTCCCCCAGGGAGCCTGAGGTGCCCCGTGCCCACTCTTCATGCCTTGGGCCCAGAGCTGGCCTCCTGCCGCGGGGCCGCCTGTCCTCACTGCCCCAGACTTCGGCTTGCGCGGTCCTGCTCCTCTGACCCCTGCCTCTGGGCTGGTGAGCCTTGGATGGGGTGGGGACCTGGAATGGGTCTCTCCTGCCCCACCTGGCTGAGATGCCACCCTTCTTCAGGCCCAGGCTCCAGAGGAAGCCTCCCCGAATCCTCCCCAGGCCTTCCAAGTACAGGATTGAAGCTTTAGTGAAATTAGCCAAGGACCACGGTCCAGTGCCCAGGGTTTAAAAAGAATGAAGTAGCAAAAGGTATCCCCGTGTCATGTCCCCTGCCGACAGCACCGGTCTTTGATCTGCAGCAGGGGCCAGACCCTGACCACAAGTCCCAGGGCAGCTGCTTCTGCCACTGCTGGGCTCTGCTTGTCTCCTCTCGCTTCCCAGGGTATTGCCTGTCCTGCCTGTGGGTTTCCATACTTCCCAGAGCTCCCTCTGCCCCAGCCAGTGCCCCCAAGCCCGGCTAAGGAGCTGTGAGAAGCAGCAGAGGGGACTCGCCATGGGCACACCTGCCCCCCTTTCCTTCCAGCCCTTTCAGCTGCAGCCAGGAGCTGCCCCCTTAAGTGCTGCCCCTGCCTGTCTCTGGGTTACTGTTGGTTGTTTTTCTTTTTTTGAGTGGTGATTTTTCTCTAAATAAAAAAAGTCAAGCACTGAGCTGACAAGTCCGCACTGGTCAAGTCGAGAGGAAGAGCCGCAGGTGTTAGGGGAGGTGGTCAGGTTGAGAGGAGGAGCCGCAGGTGTTGGGGGAGGTGGTCAGGTTGAGAGGAGGGGCCGCATGTGTTGGGGGAGGTGGTCAGGTTGAGAGGAGGGGCCGCAGGTGTTGGGGGAGGTGGTCAGGTTGAGAGGAGGGGCCGCAGGTGTTGGGGGAGGTGGTCAGGTTGAGAGGAGGAGCCGCAGGTGTTGGGGGAGGTGGTCAGGTTGAGAGGAGGAGCCGCAGGTGCAGGGCACAGGCAGCAGGACTCTAGGTTGGTGGATTCAGTATCGGCTCCCTTGGCCTTTCCCTTTCAAGTGGAGTCTGGCGCCCAGGGTTCAAGGCAGGCCTCAGGCACAGGGCTGCCCACCCAAGCTGCCCACAGGAGGGGTCTCACACCATAGCCCAAAGGGCACACCAGCCTGGACCCAGGGGCCCCCAAAGCACCGAAAGGATCCTTTGGACCTAGGCGAGTCTGAAGGCTTAAGATCCCACAAGGGCCCAAAAGCTCCAGCCTCCACCCATAGAAACCAGCTGCCCCGCGAAAGCAAGAAAGGAGCCCTATGCCACTGGCCTTGGCCTCTGACTCACACCACAGTCTGAGCCTGAGATAAAGTCCCTCATGACACAGAGGTAGGGACAGCAGCCTAGTCTCACTAGACGTGACCTCTTTAAAGAGATTCAGCCACAACTTTTAAAAGGCTTTAATCATAATGCAGGACACAGGTAACTCCTCTGGCTCCTTATTTTGCCAGGCCAGCAAGACAGCTCTGGATAACCCAGAGAGGGCCCAGGTGCGGCCCATTGGGTGATACGAGCCAGCTCCGGCATGGACACAGCATCAGGCCAGCCCTAACACGCCGGCCTTTGAAGGTCCAGCTCTATTTTGTGGGTATCCGCAACACCCGAGTGGGAGGAACTTGCAGTTCAGAGTTGATCTGGAAAGGAAGGGTGATGGTCGTTACATTTTCCCCAGGGCCCTCCTTTGCCACCCCTGCAAGCGACGCTGGCTCTCCCACGGGCCTCAGAAGCCCTGCATGCATGTCCTCTCCAAAGCTGAGAGATGCTGATTACCCATAGGCGGCCTCCCTGCAGCTGACAAGCCTGAGCCTTCTTGCTCAGCTTCTGCTCCAGCTGCGGCCTCTGGTAGCGTTCTTCATCTCCCGCCCATTCATTCCCCTCCCCACTCTCCACGCACCCATGCACCCATGCACCCATGCCATCCCCAGTCTAGCCTGCCCCACCTCCTCCACCCCAGCCTCTCATACACAGTAGCATCTGTGGAAGCAGGACCCATTCAGTCCAGAATGCCTGGGCCCTGTCACAGGTCAAGGGTCATTATGAGGCCACGGCTCACTACATTCCCCTTTCAGGCGTGGCCTGGGACCTGGGACCATGCTGGGGCCACATGCCCCTGAGCTTGGACCTGGGGCTGGCCCCAGTCCCCTCGCACACACATGTGCAACTAACAGCTATGCCATGGCCTTGCTGGCCTACAGCCCCAGCTCCAGGGCAGGAAATGTTAGTAACCAACTTTTTCCTTCTCCTCTTGCCGGGCCATGGGGAAGTTGCCCACAACTTTTGCAGCGGTGGGCACAGATGGAGGCCAGGGAATAGCTGCCCCAGCAGAGCCTCCTCCCCCATGTGAGGACGACCCTCCAGTCATATCCCAGGCAGGGAACCAGGGCTGGTCTGTGGAAAGAGCCCAGGCTCCAGACGAGTTGCAAACTCTCCAAGTTGTGATTGTCCTTTTTAAGAAAAGGGGAGCATCACTTCCTCCCTGTCCACGTCACACAGCGGCGGTGAGGATGCAAGAAGAAACGCAGCTGGGGGCTCTGTAGCTGGGGAGCTGCTCCTGGCTGTGGCACTGCTTCGCACAGAGCGGTCCCAGCAGGCCACTGGCACCAGAAACCTCAGCTTCAAAGAGACACTGTCACCCCGGAGCTGTTCAGGAGGAGACTTCAGGCAAGATCTATTCCTTTGCCCAGTAATTGTCTCAAGGTGCCACTGTGGATTTTTTTACATCACATCGCAAAGCTCCCTTGCCTCTGGTGAGGAGGGGACTCCTCGTTCCCTAATGCCAGCTCCTGTCCCCCGGACCCACTCCCACCTCCTGCCACCCCTCCTTCGAAGGCCCCGCTGCCCACCTTAGAGGTCAGATACTGCTGCAGCAGTGCCTGCAGCTCTGTGTTCTGCTGCTCCAGAGAACTGTTTTCCAGCAGCAGCTTGGCCCTCTGGGTCAGGACAAGGCTTTGGACAGAAAAATCCATTAGAGGCTCACTGAATCCTCCATCCTCTGCCCAGTAGGGGCCAGGGTCTTGGTGTTTCTGCTCTGGCACAGATGGAGGGAGACTCCAGAACTACACTCTACCCAGCCGCCAGGTGAGCCAGGCTAGCAGGAACAAAACAGGCAGGGCAGGGCCCAAGACCAACTGCCCCACAGGATCCACCCACACAGGAGTTGCCAAGGGCGGCTCTTCCCTCCCAGGTTTGGTGGGACAGGGAGGCAGGAAACGTGGGCTGCTCCCGGCAACCGCTCCTCACCCACCCGCCAGCGCCATCCTGCTCCATGACTTGCACACTTACTGGTACTTCTCCAAGGCCGTGTAGAGGGCATCCCAGAGGTTCAGCCTGGAGGGAGGGATCACCATGGTCAGGGCCTGCCAGTACTCCGAGTCCTTGGAGTTGCTGCGCACACTCTTCTGCACCCTCAGCGGGGCCCGCGAGTCCCTGAAGGCCAAGAGCACTGCGACCGTCATCTCCACTGGGCACGACCCAGGCCCCCAGGCAGTGCCAGTCACAGGCTTATTGCTTTCCCACCTGTCGCCTTCCCACTCAGCAGTCCAAGTTTATCACATGGTTGCAGGTTCTCCTTATTTTTATTTATTTCTTTATTTTTGAGCCAGAGTCTCACTCTGTTGCCAGGCTGAAGAGCAATGGCGCTATCTTGGCTCACTGCAAACTCCACCTCCCAGGTTCAAGTGATTCTCCTGCCTCAGCCTCCAGAGTTGCTAGGACTGTGGGCGCCCACCACCACACCTGGATAATTTTTGTATTTTTAGTAGAGACGGAGTTTCATCATGTTGGCCAGGCTGGTCTTGAACTGGTGGCAGGTTCTCAGAAAGAACATATGCTTATCATCAACGTTCCTGACTCAGCACCACTGCTACCTTCATGAAGGCATGATCAGTGTTCCACCCACCCCTCTCTCTCCCAAGCAGTTACCTCGCCAGCTTTACAGCTCATCACTGTGCCCATCTCTTGCACCAGTGCATCCAAAACAGCACTTGAATTCAGTCATGTCCTCTCCATCCCCCGATGACAGCCTTAATCTGGAGGATCCTCACCTCCCACCTGGACGAGCCTCCTGATGCTCTCCCTGTATCCAGCATCATCCCTTCCCTGCCGCCACCAAGATCTCTCTAAAAGGCAAGGTTAATCACAGCTCCTCAACTGCTTCAAATCCTTTCTGGCTCCCACCCACCACGGGGTAAAGACAAAGATCTTAGGTGCACTGGGCCTAAGATCTAGGAGGCTATGAGGTGACGGAGAGGTTCTATTTCTAAATCCCGGCTCCCAGGTGTGCATCTAATTGACATTCATAAAGCTTACATGTTATAAATCTCCTTTTGAATCATGATACAATTAAATCTTTACTTAATTGTTAAAGGCTCTCCAAGACCTGGCTGGCTCCCCACCCACCAGTGCCATCTCCCAGGCCGTTGACACTCCAGCCAGACCTCCTGTGATGATTCTTGAACAGAGCAGACCTTCCCCACGCTGCCGCGTCCTGAAATGCCCTTACTCCATCTTATCTGCCTGAGAACACCCCGTTCAGGTGCCATTCCCTCCCAAAACCCTCTCTGACATGCCACATGGAGACAGCCACTTCCTCCTCTGAACAATGGTGCACCTTGGATGTGCTTGGACTATTGCTCTGATCAAAGGGCAGTGTCACCACAGTGCTTACACACGGCAGACTTCAGCGCATGTCTGCTGAATGAATGATGAACGAAAAAAGTGCACAGCACAACTACACCCCATTGCTTTCCTGAGTCTGTCCAGCGACTGGTTCCCCTAGCCCACCTTCAGATAGCTCTGTCCTCACTTCCCACCTCTTGCCCAGTGGCCTCTTCTCCACTCACTGGCTCTGCCTGGCTCCCCAGCCCATCCAGCTCCCCTGGTCCTGGTCTCAGGCAAGCCCTCCAGCCCCGCAGCCCACCTAGGCTTCTTCAGACCCATGACGAAGGCCTCCAGAATCTTGAGGACATCATTGGGGTGGATGACCCAGGGGGAGGGCGGGGTCTCCTCCTCTTCCTCCTTCTCCCCCTCCACCAGGCTTTCTTCCTTTTCTCCTTCCATCTCTGTTCGCTTGGCCGGCTCCAGTTCTGACTCCATGCTGGTCCCCTCCACGCCTGACGCCTCCACACTTGCCTGACTGCAGGGCTTGCTCTGGAGAAAGACGCAAGGACAGCGGTAGGCTGCAGACACATGAGCATGAGCACGGAGAGAGAGGCAGGAAGAAGGAAAACCAGAAAAGTTTAGAGAAAGTTACAGAAAGCTTGCCCAGGGAGACATTTACACAGGGACAGAAACAGGAGAAACAGTGGCCAGAGAGGGATGGAGTGGGCAGAGGCACTAGGAGGCTATGAGACAATGGAGAGGTTCTGTTTCTAAATCCAAGCTCCCAGGTGAGCATCTTACTGACTTTAGAAAACTTGCATGGTATCAATCTCCTTCTGAATGATAATACAAATTCAATTTTTGTTTTAATTGTTACATTTAAAAGGTCTTCCTCCTACTCCTACCTTGCAGTTCATGCAATTGACCTCCCACAGGCAAACGAATGCTATCTAGTTTCCCGTGTTTCCATCTAAGGACATAGTGTGTCTATGTAATGTCTGTATAGAAATACATGCATACACTTTCCCATACATACTTTTCCTTCTTATTTTGACATCAG